GCTAAGTGAAAGAAGCCAGACATAAAAAGCTTCCTTTTGATGATGATTCCATTTATATGAATGTCCAGAACGACAAATCTATAGAGACAGAAAGCAAATTCCTGGCTGTCAGGGGCTAGGGGAGGGACAGAGAGGAGGAAGGCAGAGGAAGGACTGTTAATGGATATGGATTTCTTTTCCTTTTTAAAAAAATTGTGACTGGATATACCATGGAATTCACCATTTTAACCATTTTTTAAATGTACAGTTCTTTGCATTAAAGTTCATTCACATTGTTGTGCAACCATCACCATCAACCATCTCTAGAACTTTTTCATCTTCCCAAATGGAAAACTCTGTATCTATTTTTTAAAGATTCATTTATTTATTTGCTAGAGAGAGACAGTACTAGAGAGCATGGGCAGGGGGTAGGGGCAGAGGGAGAAGGAGAGGGAGAAGCAGACTCCCCGCTGAGCAGGGAGCCCAGCACCGGGCTGGATCCTAGGACACCAGGATCATGACCTGAGCTGAAGGCAGACACTTACCCAACTGAGCCACCCAGGCGCCCCAAACTCTGTATCTGTTAAACAGTAATTTCCTATTCTCCCCTCCCCTGAGCCCCTAGCAACCACCATTCTACTTTCTCTATCTCTAAATGTGACTACCCTTGGTGCCTCATCTAATTGGAATCATACAATATTGTCCTTTGTGACTGGCTTATTTCACTTAGAATGTTGTCTCCAAGTTTCCTCCATGTTGTAGCATGTGTTAGAAGTTCCTTTCTTTTTAAGGCTGAATAATACTCCATTGGATGTATATACCACACTTTATCTATTCATCTCCTGGTAGATACTTGAATTGCTTTGTTATTGTAATTTCAATTTGCATTTCCCTAATGACTAATGATGTTGAGTATCTTTTCATGTGCTTATTTGCCATTCTTGTGTCTTCTTGTTCAAATATTTTGCCCATTTTTAAATTGGATACTTTTCTTGTTTCTGAATGTCCTTTATCAGATATACTCTTTGCAAAGATTTTTCTCCATTTGTGACTTGCCTTTTTATTCTCTTAACTGTGGCCTTTGAAGAGCAGAGTATTTAATTTTGATGAAGTCCAATTTATCAATTTTTCTTTCTATGGATCACGCTTTTGGTGTCACACCAAAGAAATCTTTGTTCAACCCAAGGTCATAAAAATTCTCTCCCAGGTTTTCTTCTAGAAGTTTTATAGTTTTAGGTTTTATATTTAGGCCTATAATCTCTCATACACTGTTGGTGGGAATGTAAAATGGTACAATTACTTTGGAAAACAGACGGTTTCTTAAAAAGTTAAATACACATCTGACATATGATCTAGCCATTTCACTCCTAGGTATTAACTCAAAGAGAAAAGAATATGTCTATGTAAAGACTTGTACACAAATGTTCATAGCAGTATTATTTGTAATAGAGTCAAACTGAAGACAGCTCAAATGTTCACCAACAGGTAAACCGAAAACAAATGTGGTACATCTATACAAGGGACTACTACTCAGCAACAAAAAGGAATGAAGTATTCATCTACACCACATGGAAAAATTTAAAATAATTATGATGAGTGAAAGAAACTAGAGTACATATTGTGGGATTCCATTTATATAAAACTCTTTTTAAAAAAAAAAAGGCAGGGCGCCTGGGTGGCTCAGTTGGTTAAGCAACTGCCTTCAGCTCAGGTCATGATCCTGGAGTCCCAGGATCGAGTCCCGCATCGGGCTCCCTGCGCAGCAGGGAGTCTGCTTCTCCCTCTGACCCTCTTCCCTCTCGTGCTCTCTCTCTCTCATTCTCTCTCTCAAATAAATAAATAAAATCTTTAAAAAAAAAAAAAGGCAAACTTATCTGTAGTGATCAGTGGTTGCCTGGCTGAGGTGGAAAGGGATTACAAAGAAGCACAAGGAAACTTCTGGGGGTAAGAGATATCTTTGCTATCTTGACTGTGGTGATGGTTCCATGGGTGTATACATATGTCAATATGTCAATACCTGTCAAATTGTGTAGTTTTTTTTAAAGATTTTATTTATTTATTTGACAGAGAGAGAGAGCAAGAGAGCACAAGCAGGAGGAGTGGCAGAGGGAGAAGCAGGCTCCCTGCTGAGCAAGGAGCCAGATGCAGGGCTCAATCCCAGGTCCTGAGATCATGACCTGAGCTGAAGGCAGACGCTCAACCAACTGAGCCACCCAGGCGCCCCTCAAATTGTTTATTTTATTATGTGCAGTTTATTTTATGCAAACCACATTTCAATAAGGCTATTTTTTTTTTAAAAAGCAGCCATAGGTTAAACTGTATAGTGCATAAATTTCAGATCACATGTGGCCCTTTATAGTAAAAAGCCAAAGAGTTAATAATTTACAATCAATCTCCATATTGTAAAGCAATAATCTTAGGACTTACTTTCTATCACAAAAACTCCTGTCAAGATTCTAGATTTACATCTATTAGATCAGATTCTGAACCAATATATAGCAACCTGGTTTTGCCGGGATAATAGAAATATCTAGAGACAGCCGATCTACTATCTGCAGAAGAATTATTCTCACAAATTGCAATTGGTATCTCTTATGTACCCAGTTCTGAATTACCCTGTTTTTAAATTTCCATTAAAACTGTTTCCTAGAGCACTGCTCCTTCATTAGGCAAAACACATCCCCGATGCACTTTATTCTTCAAACTCCCATTCATTTCAGTTCCTACTGTATCTCTGGTGTTAATTTAGGTTATGACTTCTGAAATTTTCTTCATCCCTGATATAAAGTGGTTGGACTAGGTGGCCTCTTTAAAATTTACGAGTCTAATCTTCTATCTGGCATATATTGTACTATGTGCTACACCCTAAGAGGGATGCAGAGATGAACAAAATATGTCCCCTGCATTCAAAGGATTTTCAAACCAGGAGTAAACACATAAAGAACTATAATATAATGCAACAGTGTCAAGTATCATTAACAGAAATAATGATAATGTCTCTTAGGAGATCTGAGGACCAGTCACTTGAAACTGGAGTGGCCAAGTGAGACTTTCTGGAGGTGACAGCACTTTACCTGGGCTTTCAAGAATGGAAAGAATTTGGAGAGAGGGAGGGCATTTCAGTTAGAAGGACCGGCATGAACAAAGTTAGGAAAGTGCCAAGTCATGCTCAAGGGAAAGTAAATGTGCCACGTGGTAGCTGCAGCAGATGAAGTATTTGTAGAGGAGTGGAGGGAAAAGATGAGGCTGGAAAAGTAGGATGGAAATATACTGTAAGGGCCCAAATGCCAGAAAAAGAAGTCATGATTTCATACTGTAGACAATGGGAAACCATGGCAAAGATTTGAGACAAATGACCCAAGAAGTTAACTGGTTGCTCTGTGGGAAGAACGTGCTGGACAAAGAAGCTTAAAAGTAGTGAGTCAGACTAATAGCAAGTGACCCAGCAAGAGGGAGAAAATGAGGGCCTGAATTAAAGAGGACAGAAAAGAGATATTTCATAGGCAGAACCAGATAATGTTAACTAATGGATTTAATGAAGCAGAACATGTATAAAAAAGGGAGGAATCTCAGAAGGATAGAGCCAAGAAAGCCCCCTGAAATCACCCAGTGTTGATCCAGTGATTTTTTTTACTGTTTCAAGTAGAAGAATCACTTTTACATTTCTGAATCACAAACGTGTAAAATTAGGAGCTCCAGTGGCGCAATCGGTTAGCGCGCAGTACTTATACAAAGTGCTTTTTAATCAAACAGTACAGATGCGCATAAAATGAAAAAAGTTACCATCCTAAGTCCCACTTCTGTATTAATAGTTTCTGCTGTACCTTTCAGATATTCTGGGTTCTACTAGTCTGTGTAGTGGGGAGGGGGGACGGCGATTGAATCCTTAAAAACATTACACATAATGGAATCATAAACTCCTACAATTTTCCTTTTTCATTCAACAACATATATTAGAGATTTTTCCATGTCCACATATATAGATCTACCTCAATTCTTCTACTAGCTGCACAGGGTTACACAGTAACGTGTCATAATTTAGTTCCAATCCCTTTTAATGGATATTTAGGTTGTTTCTAGTTTTTTGCTGTCACCTTCTGTCATGCAGCCTTCTCTCTATACAGGACATTTTGAGTGCGAGCATACCTGCCTGTTCCCTGCCTACGGATCAAAAGATACGTGAATTTAAAATGTCGGTGGACCTTGTCAAATTACCAGGATAGGACCCCTTCTTAAGAGGAAAGAAAGTCACGAACCCGTACACATGATTGCGGAGCCTCCTCCTATCTAGGTGGGCAACCTCGCTTTCCCTCTCCAATTCCTATTTCAAGGATGAAGGCAGTGAGGCCGGGCGACGGCCAGGGGCACACAACTCGGAGGCTGGACTGGGCGCCGCGTCTGGCCCCGCGACCCCGGGTCCCTCCCGCTAAAGTGTCAGCGACTTCTTCACCCTCCCTGCGACTGGGGAGAACCCTTCCCCTCCTCCCAGCCACCCTCGTCTCCATGCTTGGGGTCGTCTCACCGATGGTTCTCGTTGAGCAGGGAGAAGAGCGGGCCGAGGCGCAGTTCGGCCGCTAGCTCGCGGAGCTCGCTGAGCCGCACGGTCTGCAGCACCGAGTGAAGCGCGCGCAGCTCCTCCAGCGGCGCTTCCAGTCGCGACACCTCTCTCAGCAGCGCCAGCGCCTGGGCCGCCATCGCGCTCCTCCCGGCCCGGCTGGCGGCTCCGGGCGCGCCGCTCCGAGCCTCGCGAGATCTGCGGGGCGAGGCCTCCCTGCCCGAGGTTTCGGCCGGGACTGCGAGCTGCCCTGGCCGCACCAATAGCAATGTGGGGGCCGGCGGGCAGCGCGCGCGCTCGGGGGCCGCCAAGCCTCGCGAGACGGGGGCCGTCAGGGGCCGGGCCAACTGTCGCCGGTGTTTGCGGGGTCGCGGCCGGGCGTCATCGTGGGCGCCGCTTGGTGGGTCGCGGAGGCCGGCTTTCCGGTCGGCTTGCGTATTTCCCTCAGAGAGCGAAGGCGCGTCAGATGCCCGGCAAGCGGAGTGGTGACAATGAGGACCCACAGAAGGTTAAACGGCCTCGCGGGCGGCCGCCCGGTCCCAAAGCCAGGCTGTCGGCTGCGGCGAGGGCGGCGGTGGTGGAGGCCGCCGCGGCTTGGGCAGCGGCCGAGGCCACCCCAGGCGGCGCGGAGGCTATGGGCATCCTGCTTCCGGGCCAGACACGAATCAAGAGGAGGCGGAGGGTCATGCCTCTGGAAGACAAGATGAAAATTCTCGAGAAGCTGGAAGAAGGCGTGAGTAACACCGACGTGGGGCGCCTGTTTGGCGTCAACGAGTCAACCGTGCGCACCATTAAGAAAAACGAGAAGGCCATCAGGGCCAGCATGGAGAGTGTTTCGCCGGTGTGCTCCAAGGTGCTGTGCATTCCCCGTGATGTAAACATCGAGAAGATGGAGACCGAGTTAACCTTCTGGGTGGAGGACCAGACCATAGGGGGGCGGCCTCTGACGCTGAAAGCCATCTGCAGCCAGGCCAAACGCATTTACAAGCAGCTGGTCGAAACCACTGGGAACGGCAACCCGGATAAGTTTCATGCGAGCAAGGGATGGTTTGAGAAGTTTAGAAATCGCTACAGTCTGCGAAATTCGAGGTTGATGGGGGAGGAAGAACCCCTGAATGCCCAGTCGGCACCCAAGTATTCCAAACAACTCCAGAGACTAATCAGAGCCAGAGGCTACGTGCCTCAACAGGTCTTCAACGCTGAGGAGATGAGCCTGTTTTGGAAGTGCATGCCTTCACGTACTTTTAGGGAAAAAGACAAAAATCCCGAAAGCTTAGAGGAAGCTAAGGACAGGATATCCCTCATTTTTTGTGCCAACGCCGCTGGTGACAAAATGATAAAACCCTTGCTGCTTTATAAAGACCCTAATCCCACTTGTCTTTTGGAAAAAGATAAAAACCGCCTTCCTGTGTTCTGGCGATCACACCCTAAAGTATCATTAACCGCTGCCCTCTTTTTGGATTGGTTTCATAATTGTTTTATCCATCAGGCCCGGAATTATTTAATAGAAAAAAATCTTGAGTTCAGAGTGTTGCTGATTCTGGACAGAGGTCCCAATCACCCAGACTCATTATTCTTTGCTCATCCTAATGTTGATATTGTGTTCCTCCCTCTGGAAGGCACTAGCTATCTTCAGCCCTTGGACCAGGGTATAATTGAAGCCTTCAGGAGGTATTACACCAAGCATATGTTTGACCACTTTGCTGACTGTATTGAAAAAAACCCTTGTCTTACTTTGAAAGAAACATGGCAACAATACAACATTGCTGATGCTTTGGTAGTGATAAAAGAGGCAATGGATGATATAAAACCGGCTGCTCTTAATAAAGCCTGGTGGAAACTTTGGGATGATGTTGTGAATGATTATGCATGTTTCCCTAGAGCTAATGAAGAAGTTGCAAAAATTGTAGAGTCTGCAAAACGGATGGACTTTAAATTCCTTGACATCGAAGAGGGTGAAATTAATGAGCTCCTCAAGTTTCAGGCTTTGGCCATAACTGAGAGAGAGTCTGTATCAGTAAATACGGAAGAAGACAAGTCCCCGGAACCAGAGGTAAAGATGAATTTAAGGAAATTGAATGCTGTCTTACGCCAGGCCTCAGACCTCATTGATGCTGCAATTGATATGGATCCTTTCCTGGACCGAAGTTTGGCCTTTAAAAAAGACTTAAATAAATTGTTATATACCTATAAAGAGGTGCAAAAGAACCTTCAAAATAAAGCAAAGGAGTTGAAGAAAGAAAAAGACACAAACAAAGAGGAAGTAGTGTGGATGAAGAAGATGGATACAGAATCGGAGTCTGAAGGGGAGTCTGAATCTGAATCCGAGTCTAAATCCCAATCTGAATCCCATAAGGAGAAGCAGGTGGAGAGAAGGAAAGAGGACAAGAAGCCTCCAGAAGAAGATCCTGGACCCTCAAGCAGTGGCACTGAGACTCTCACTCTATCTGAAGAATCTGCCAAAGCCATAAATGCAGAATTGGACTTTTGGAATCTAACCTTGGAATTGAATCTGGAGAGAGTAGATGTGCCTGAGTTAAAGGAAGAAGAGAATTCAGAGGCAGTGCCTTCCAAATGACAGTTCATCTCTTGCCATTTTTCCCCTGTTGCCCCAACATCTCCCTTCATCATGACCGTCCTTATCATCACCAGCCACACATCCATATCATTTAGTCATTCAACAGTTATTGAGCATAAGCTGTGTGGGGTCCTGTGCTAAAATTGGGGACATCATCTCAGGAAATCATCTCGGGATCTAAGGTAAATGGTCATTAACAGTGGCTATATTTCTTATTAATGTAATAGGTATAAAAGATCACAGTCTTGACTTATTTTACCGGACTTTGGATATAAAAAGGTTTTCTTAGGACCACAGCTTCATTTTCTCTAACCCAGTTTTTCCACAGATACTAAGTTCTTCAATCACAAATGGAGATTTTCTGAGTTAACCATGGTAGTCAATATGAGATTACTTGCTTTTGGTTTTTGTTTGTTTAAAGGTTTTATTTTTAAGTAATCTCTACACCCAGTGTGGGGCTCAAACTCACAACCCTGAGATCAAGAGTCACATCCTCTGCCGCTGAGCCGGCCAGGAGTCCTGAGACCACTTGCTTTTGAAAAGTTGACATGGTCTTATATTTTCTACAACATTCTTACATGAGTGTTCTTTGTTAATCCTCCCCCCGCCACCCAGAGCTCAAAGAGTTTATGTAATTGGCCTGAGTCTTCACAGCTATGTAAATGATAAGACCAGGGCTACAACTGGTTTATTAACTACTTTGTCAGACACTGGTGAGAAGTGTGGGCCTTTGAGAACTTAGAGTCCCAAGGAATGAGACAGACAGTAAACAGATAATTAAACACAAAGACTGTGAACTTGCAGCCTGCAAGCCAGATTTGGCTAACAGATCTGTTTTGTTTCGTTTACCCAGCATACAACAATTTTGAATTGGTTTCCAGCATTTCCCCAGCTTGTTAAGGTACTGTTTACATACAATATAGAATTCACCAACGTAAGTGTATGTTGAATTTTGTTGAATTTTTTTAAATGCTTGTGTAACCACTACCACAATCCAGATATAGAACAGTTTCCTTAAGAAAGTTTACTGGTGGCCTTGTGTACTCAGTCCTTTCCCCTGCCCCAGAGATATCATTTAAAAATTAAGATATTTCACATAAGAAGCTGGATTAAAAAATTGCACACCCTGGCATCAGTGGACTCTGCATCCCCGAAGGGCAGCAGTCAGTCATTAGGTTGCTGCTCTTCTTACTTGTTTGCAGCTCCCCATAGTTGATGATGTCGAATGCTGCAACAAAAGTGTGTACGATGTGCCTTAGGGGAAATAGAGGACTGGGACTAACCCTGCAAAAAGCTGCACGGAGCAGCTGGCCTAGAAAGATGAGTGAGTTCATAGGGAGAGCAGGTGGGAACAAGAGTATTTTAAGCCAAGGAGAATTAGATGGGAGATCCTGGGAGGAGGAGGTGCTGTGGGGGACAGGAAGGCAGGTGTGTGGATGTGCGCACGCGTGTATGTATGTGTGCTTCACTTGCTTTTGTTGGCAGGATGGGCCCCTATAAAGTGGAAGAGTTTTGTGTATGTGTATTAGAGTTTGTGTGCCGTGGTTTCTGGAAGTTTTATGTATCTAAGAAACGTAGATCTCTTTATCTGTACATGTGGGGATTTTATCATTTTTTTTTTGTTTTTAGAATGGGAAGGGAAAATTAGTATTTTTATTTTTTCAGGGGTTGTAGGTCAGCATATGGTGTCTGGGTTTTTTGTTTCTAGGAAGAGAATTGCCTAGTGAGAATTACTCCCTCTTCCCTGCCCCCTCCCACTCCACTCTGTCCTCCCCGCCAGCCTGGCTGGGGCCTGACTGGGCAGTGGGGCAGGCAGCAGGTGGTGAGGGGATAGGGCAGTGTAGGCCCTCAGTGCCCGCCCATCAGGTTGCAACTCAGCCCGAGGCTGCAGTTTGCTACGGCTGTGCTACTGAATTACCAGCGACGCCATGGACAGGCTGGGCGCTCGGTGCCCTCTGCCAGGCTGCCTGCGGCCCTCTGTCCTCATATGCTTCCTGGTGAGTGTCCCCTGCTACGGCTCTGTGAACTCTCTCACCCCTAAACCTCCAACCTGGGGAATTGAGGGGAGAAGGTGTGTTTCTTTTTTCTGCTCCTGGGATTTTGAGCTGGGAGCAGGCAGGTAGGAGGTGGAAGGGGGAATCCCCCGAGACACACGACCCCCCCCGCCCTCCCCCCCACCCTGGTGTCCTGGAGAGTGTATAGCATGCTTCTGAAGATTACCAGCAACCCTTCACTCCCCACTTTGTGAGGAGGAGTGACTGGGCTGCATTTCAATGCCAGGGTTGTCCGGGGAGGTGATGGGCTGTCTGCTGGCGAGTTCTGATCTAGGGGTCACATGATAGATTCTTTTAATCTTTCTCTTGCGGTCACTATCTCGTTTTTTGTTTTTGTTTTTGTTTTGCATTTGAAGAAGCGTTTGGTTTTCTCATCTCTGAAATATCTACAAATGTGTTGTGGTGGTGGTTGAGTGGGGATGTGGAAAGAACTGTAGAAGAGGGTCAGAAGTCTTGCTCACTTTTTGGGTGATTTCTTCTCTCTGGCCGTTACATTGCTCATCTGAAAAATTGGCACAAATCAGTGGCTCTTAACCTTTTTGGAACTGTAGATTTTCTTGATTTGTGTGTGTGTGTGTGTGCGCATGTGAAAATTCTGGATTTGTACAAGGAAAATGTATGGCTAAACACAATGTAGCACTCAATTCCAGAGTATCGCACGTTCCTTAAAATTAGGTCAATTACAAGGTTAGAACCACTGGGTGGCTGCTGAGGCCCCTTCTGTCTTAACACAGGTTGTAAAGTCAATCATAACCTCTTCAAAGCTATGTAAATATTCCAGGACAAAAAAAATGGCAGAATGAAATATGAACCAAAGGGATACATATTAAAAGAATGTAAAATTAGAAAAAGTGTTTAGTAAAAGGTAAGTATGAAAATGTTATAAAGACTTTAAAAATTATAGTGAATCTTTTTCCATTATAATATTTCTATTGGGGAATATTCTGATGTGTGTATTTTCTGTCAATTTTGCATTCATAGAATGTCACAGAATGAATATATTGTAGTCCACCCTTGGTTCCAAACTGGCCTCTCATGCTTCCAACACATTATTGCTAGGTCCACAAACATTTCTCAGATCTCCCTGTCAAGGGAGGTAAAGTCCTGCACGTGTGAAAATGAATGAGACTGTAGAGCTCATGCCCAGTGGGGGAGACATGTGTCAACAGCTGTCTGTCCTTCACTGTGATCAGTGGAACAACAGAAGGATGTGAGCAGCAACTCTGGCCTCTGCCTACCTACTAGATGCCAAGAGCACCTCCTCCTCAGTCATGACAGTCAGAATTGTCTCCAGACATTGTCAGTTATCCCCCAGGAGGCAAAATTCCTCCGAGGTGAGAACCACTGGAGTATGTGAAGTGAAGCTGAAATGACCCCACTAAACCCATTCCTAGGCATGCTCACTGCAGTTCAAAGAACCCACAGTGAGATGCAGGAGTCTTGGATTAGTCTTGGTTCTATCACAGAGTTTCTGTATGTTCTGTCTCAGTTACCTTGTTTGTGAAATGATGGGTTATCTTAGATACCTGAGGGCCCACTTATCTCTTAGCATTTTGACTATGAATTCATACGAGAGTTTCGATACATTTTAGGTGAGTTTATAGTTAATCCTGTAAGCGCAGTTTTCCACTGATAACCTACTGCTGAAATGTTCCAGATCTTCCCTGGGAATGGCTTTTTTGGTTGGGGGACAGGCCACTAACCCTTTTGTCTAGATTCTGTGCTGGAAGCCACTTTAGAGTCATTGGAGCCTTACAGTGTTTTAGTATATTCAGTTCTCTGGTCAAAGCCAAAGCCGGTGACTCAAAAGCCCTATCTACTTCACTATTTAGTCTTTTTTTTTTTTTTTAAGATTTTATTTATTTATTTGACAAAGAGCACACAAGTAGACAGAGCGGCAGGCAGAGGGAGAAGGGTGTATGTATGTGTGCTTCACTTGTTTTTGTTGGCAAGTGGCTCTAGGCTCCCCACTGAGCAAAGAGCCAGATGTGGGACTTGATCCCAGGACCCTGGGATCATGACCTGAGCCAAAGGTGGACACTTAACCGATTGAGCCACCCAGATGTCCCCACTATTTAGTCTTAATAACCACATCTTGCTGGTGTATTGTTAATTCACTAGTTTCCAAGTATTTATTGTGAACCTTCTGCGTGCCATGAACTGTGCGGGGGGTACAGTGATGAGCAAAGCACGGTGCCTTTCTTTATCGAATCAGTGATTACAAAGTCTTTTTGCTATCCGGTTTGAACCCATGACAACTCTGAGATATGCAGCGGAAGTGTCAGAATCTGCATTCTCTAAGTAACAGTTACAGAAGGGAGGGGAGGTAACTTGTTGAAGGCCACAGGCAGTTAGCAGTACCGGCACTAGGATTTAAATCCTGCTCTCTAGTGCTTTTACTTTTTTCTTATAGTCAAGTTGAGTTGTCATTAAAAACACACACATGCAATAAAAGCTTCATTGAAAAGCCTGGTTCTTTTGTTCTTGCGTGGTCACTGGTTTAGTTCAGAGGACTGGTATTTTGATTTGGAGGTGTTGGTGGAGGTGGTAGGAGGGATTGAGGAACCCAACCCAGACGGGCCTCTAGTCAAACTGAAACTCCAAACATTAAAAACGCTGCTCAGGCCCTGCCAAGAAGTAGGAGCCAGGCCCCAGGCAATAATGTGGAAGGAGTGGGAGGACAGAGGCTTATTTGAGTGAGGCCTGAGCCCTGGGCTGGGAGGCAGGAGAAGCGCACTTCTGTTCAGCCTTGCTTGAGTCACTGCGGGCCTCCTTGCAAGTCACCTCTATCCTGTTAATGGCTCCATGAGCTCCCCCAAGCAGAGAGCCCTGGAATGGAAGCCATTCTCCAGTTGTTTCCAGTTCCTCTTATTTTAAATGTTTATCATTGAAATAGTAAGAACAATTGTATCTTGAGTGTCTTTTGCTTACATTGTCACTGCCATCTTCTTTGCTCAAGATCTTAAAGTCTGTTTCCTAGATCATTGTAATGGCCTTTTAAGTAGCCGGCCTTCTGGTCATTCCTCTCTCTGAAGTTACTCTGCCCAACTTGACCACGTTTATTACTCTCCTACCTAAAAAACCTCCGAAAGCACCCTATCCCATGAGTACAAACCCCAGACTCCTCTGACTGACCCTTCTCTTTATAAGGCTAGCCAGTCTTACTTCCTCCTGATATCATACCTGCAGATTGGAGATCTCATCTATCCCTTAATACCTCTTGAGTTTGTACATATTAATGTTTACTAGGAGTACCTCCCTCTCCTCTTGTAAACTTACTTATGATTTCAGATCCAAGTTAGACGGTACCTTACCTTTGAAGCCTCTTCTCCCTCGGGTACAACCTTCCTCTAGGTCCTACTACCTCTCAGTTACAACAGCACAGGTCAGATTACTTTGAATTAGGCTACCTTTTCCACTGGACTACCCACAGCGCCTGCACAGACACAAATGAATGGAGGTGAAATTAACTCTACAACATCAGTAGATGATTCATAAATAATCCCCATAGGATGATAGTAGTTCAGTGGATTCCAGTTGGCATTACTTCTAATAGCAGTTTTATACAGTAAGAATGGATTTCTGCTCATCTAGACGACGATTCCCAATCTTGGCTTCACCAATTACAAGCTATGTGATCTTGATTTCTGAGCCTCCATTTTTTTATCACCTGCAAAATACAGAGGAAAATATTTAGGCACAAAAACTTAAGTGCTAAAGCTCAATACAGATACCAGGAATTATTTTGTGGATGGGGAATGGGGATGAAAAAATGACACTTAGCCTTGGTTACAATTTGCTTGAGCTGGCAGATCGTGAATTGGCCATGTCACTGCTGACCTGTGCTTTTTTCTCCCTACCATGTAGATCCTGACAGCTTCTTTCCTGTCATACCCCATGTTCAGGACCCTTAGCCTGCGGCTCCATTCAGCTGTCACCGGCAGCTATGTCTCCAGCACTTACTCCATCGTCTTTGTCAACTGTCCCAATGAGCAAATTGCCAGAGATATTGCCAGGTACAGTGAAGGGGCTTAGGTGCTGCCCCAGGAGGCTTGGGGAGCTACTGGGATGCTCCACTTTGTCCACTACACAGCTATCTGCTTGAAGTGATAAGAGGAGCACGGCTGAATGATCCCCCGACAGATTCTGCTGCTGGGCCTGAAAATGTTGAGTGGTGCATGGGAGCGTTTAAGGGATATGAGGCCCAGAGAGCTAGGTGGCTGCCCAAGGTGTTAAGGTCAGAGGACAACAGAACTCTGCAGGCTAAGAATTTGTCTTCTAATACTTGGCTCAGCTCTCTTTCTTCTTAGAGATATTCTCTTAGCTTACTCCTAGAGGTGCTCACCATGGCAAGTGAGGAGGAGGAGGCTATTCCACGTATTTAGCAAATTTCTTTCTTTCTTTTTTTCCCTTCCTTCCTTCCTTCCTCTCTCTCTCTCTCTCTCTCCCCCTCTCCCCATCCCTCCCTTCTTTCCTTCCTTCCTTCAAGATTTGTTTATTTTAGAGACTGAGAAAGTGTGTGAGCAGGGGGTGGGACAGGGAGAGAGAAAGAATCCCAGGCAGACTCCCCACTGAGCGTGGAGCCAAATGCTGGGGCTTGATCCCACATCCCCAAGATCATAACCTGAGCCGAAATCAAGAGTTGGACGATCAACTGACTGAGCCACCCGGGCACCCCAGTATTTGGCAAATTTCTTCCTTTTTTTTTTTTTTTTAAGATTTTATTTATTTATTAGAGAGAGAGAGCAAGAGAGGGAACACAAGCAGGGGGAGTGGGAGAGGGAGAAGCAGGTTTCCCGCCGAGCAGGGAGCCCGATGTGGGACTTGATCCCAGGACCCTGGCAGACGCTTAACGACCGAGCCACCCGGGCACCCCAGTATTTGGCAAATTTCTAAAAGCAGCTATGGTGTGGTACAAAGAGCACTGGACTTACAATCAGACCAGGGTTTGAATCTTGGCTGTGCCACGTCAGTAACTGTGTGACCCTGGGCAAGTCGCTTTCTTTCTCAAAGCATCAGTTTTCTGATTTATAACATAGGATAATGCCACTTACCTCACAGGACCATTGTGAGGGTTAAACGATATGAAATATGTACAGTTCTTACCCCGTAAAGTGGACATAGTAGATGCTCACTAAATATTTGTTCTATCTGAATGTCCTTATAGCTGTGACTTTGAAGAGGGTTAGTGGGTCTGGAGGGTGATGGAATGGCTAACTCTATAAACTCAGCCATCTTGAAATTGATAGACTAAGTTACAGTGTTTTAAAATGTTGAATCTGGTCTTTGGGGACACAACAGCTTCCAAATTCTTGGTCACAGATTAACCTTGGAATTTATTCCATTTTTCTTCCCCCAACCAGAATGTCTGTGTTTTCCCCATTACACAATGTTATATTTGGAGACTAGCACTTGCCTGAAAGAACCCATGATTACTCCAGAAATATGACCATAATATTTAGCAGCTAGGAATTGAAATCCCTTTGATGCTTCTGGTATACCTAGGGTATGTGCTAAACTGTTTGAATCAGCCACTCTGGGTCCTGTCAGGGAACAGTGTCAGCTGACATCTGTGAGGTGGGGTATTGGGAGGACAAGGACTCTAACGCCTGGATCCTAACTAGTCGAAAGGCCAGTTCAGTAAATGGATCCATGTATGCTTGGGGAGAGGTCTCTGCTGACTTCTTGCATCCAAGGTTCTGTTGAGAAGTCGGGTGTTTGTTGAGTCTCGTTCTTTGTAGGTAATGCTTTTGGTCTCTGATAGATTTTAGGAGTTTCTCTCTGTCTTAATGTTCAACTATTCATTTGGTAAATATTCTTTCTCTATTCTTTCTGTGTCCGTTTCCTGGAATTCCTAGTTAGGTAGATGTTGAATTTGTTCTCTGGGACTGAACTTTTATATTTTTCTGTTTCTTTATTCTACATGCTGGGAGAATTTGGAGTAGTCGTCTCTCTTCTTTGTTTCTCAGCTCTTTTGCTATTCAGCCCTCCTGTTGTTTTTTGTTTGTTTAAAAAATTATAATTTTTTTAATAGTTTTCCTTTTCAAGATTTCTATTTTTTTAATAACCAACTGCTCTTATTTCATAATTGTCTGATCATATTTTATGGATGCAATAACTTTGCCTTATCTCTCTGTGGATATTAATTATACTTAATATATGTTAAATTTTTTTCCAGTTTTATTGACCAATTATTGACATATAACATTGTGTAAATTTAAGGTGTACCACTTGATACTTTATATAAATACATATTGCTAAATGATTACCACAGTAAGGTTAGTTACCACATCCCTGACCTCACATAGTTACCTTTTATATGTGTGTGTGGTGAAAACTTTGAAGATTTGCTCTCAGCAACTTTCAAGTATATATAATTATACTTATTTAAAAAAGCTTGGTTTTGAATGTTCTATTAACTGATTCTCTTGTGTAAATTCTTCTGTTTGTTCAGTTTTGTCTCTTGGTTATTGACCTTCCTCAGTTACTTGGGATTAATTGGGACCTCTCTCATCTTTTTAGTCACGTTTGTGGGGAGGTGCAGAAGGGCTGCCAGGAATTGGCATTATGCAGCACTATTTTCAGTGAGTGGGGGCTGGGGGGCCCTTGTAACGGCTCTGCTGGCACATTTAGCTCTCTTGCCTGGCGACAAGCACTCCATCACTGCTGCCTGGGCCCTGGGAGATTCCAGGGGTCCACCTGCTCCTGCCGTGGCATCCCAGCTACTCACCTGGGTGGTTGCCTTCATGTTCCTGCCTACTCTGGTTCCTGTGGCCTCCAGACGGGGACTGTTGCTCTCATCTTCTGTGGCAGTTCCCCTGCCTGCTCCCACTCATGTCTCAGGGTGGCCTTTTCTCCTTTGGGGCTTCCTTGTAGTCGCTGGTACATAACGTGTTCTTACTGGGTGCTGGCAGGGCTGAGTAATGAGTATTTCCTGTTGTCTCTACGGTTTGTTAGTCTACCCGCTTGACCTGCAGGTCTGAAGTGGAGCCTTTAGGGAATATGGCTGTGGGGCTCTCACTCAACCTAATTTGTTTTATATTTTTTACTAATCGTTTCGATAGAAAAGAGGCAGACAGGTTTAGTTGCCAGGATTTATAGGAGAGTAAATGGTACATGATGGGGAGGGCCCCATGAACAGGAGCAGGCAGGAACCCCAGCTTAGCTACAGAACCAGCACTGAGGCCAGGTCCCTTAGCTCTGGGCTAGTGGTCTGTCTTCTGTAGTGTTCTTTAGAGATTAGTCTGCTCCCTCTCAGTTCTGGGTCAGTTCAGTTCTGGTTCCTGGCAGGTTCTTAGATCTCTTCATTGAAAGACACATTCTTAGCTAGAAAAATTACCTAGAAACATTTCTTATTGGGGCCGGGGTGAAAATCCTGAGTGTTGAATCAGAAGACCTGGACTCTAGTGTCCTCTTTGCTGCCAACTCCACGTAGGACCTTAGGCAAGTCTTCCTTCCCTGGGCTTCCATCTCCTGTATATAGAGGGAAATGGATTAGATCGGGGCGCAAACACAAATACCTACAGGTAGGCCCCTAATTGAGCAAAGTGGGCTGGAGTGTCATGAGGGCAGGTGATTGTGGATAGCAGCCCTGACTCTCCTTGTGTGTTGGGAGGAAGAAGAGCCGTGGGAACGGATGTCACGCCTCAAGGGAGTAGCCACTGCTCAGCTCTAGCTAAACGTGACCTTGTCGGACTGTAGTTCTAATGTTACCAGACTTACTTTCTGGTGAGATGATAGATAATCTGTATTTTTTGAGTGTGAAATATCCTAATAATAAATATTAGTAACAAAGTCAAAAAAAAAATTTTTTTAAAGATTTTATTTATTTGAGAGAGAGAGGATGAGAGATAGCACGAGAGGGAAGAGGGTCAGAGGGAGAAGCAGACTCCCTGCAGAGCAGGGAGCCCGATGTGGGACTCGATCCCAGGACTCCAGGATCATGACCTGAGCCGAAGGCAGTTGCTTAACCAACTGAGCCACCCAGGCGCCCCCAACAAAGTCAAAATTTTTAAAAATTCTGTAAGAGCTAAACCATGTCTGTGGTCTGTGATTCACTAGTCTGTGAACTTGGCAGTTTCTCGAGGCCCTAACAGCTCTACGTGTCTCTATCTTCTGCTCTCCTCAGATGAGCCTGTGTGTCAGTCAGCTGATGTGCTCTCTTTTGCTCTCACACTCTCTGGTTGTGTTTTTGTTTTTGTTTTGGGTTTTTTTCTTTGGCTATAGGGTCTTTTTGAAGAACACAGTCCTCCATATTTCTACAGTCTTTTACCTGTGGACAGGTTGCTGTGATCAGTCACTGAGGAGTTTACATTCTGGGCCTTTGAGACAATGGGATTATTTTTTTTAAAGGTTTAACTCACTCCCTGTGTTTCCTTGCCACCTTCAGGAGCAATAAAATGTCATTTCTCAGTGGACAATTGAGTGAGTAAGACTTGCCATGTTTGCTTAAACAGATTTGTGCTATGTGCTTCTCCTTACAGTCAGGGACTTATTTAGCTCTGGAACTTTCCAAGGGAGTGCCACATTAATGTGGAGCCTTAAAAAGAGCACTGTTGAACCTGGAACTCATAGAAGAGAAAGTAGGTCAGTTCTCTTGGCAGCAGCTGAGGGCAGGAGGGATCGGTGTGCAGGGCTCAGATGAGGTTTATCTGGCAGGGTCCAAGCACTTCAGAGCACAGAGACCGGCCCCCCCCTTGGTGGCCTGAGACCTGAGAAAGGTTTGTCAGGGCCGGCCTGATTCTGAGGGCTTCTGGTTTGGTTGCTTGGGAATGCTTCTTTGCATCGATGATTTGGTGGTACCCCTGTTTCTGTGACACCTACACTAATTCGGGCACATCTGATTGTGTTCCCCGGGGCTCTGCACAGGAATCAGAACATCAGACCAGGACCAAGCTGCGGTCTGCCCAAAAAATCTTAGAGGTCTGCAAAGTGATGGCTCTGCTCTTAGGGCTATGGTGGAAACCTTTACATAAAAAAGGTGAAAAGAGCCTATATTTGCCAAACACAAGGTATGATTTTTTTTTTTTTTTTTGCTTTTACTTGGACTTACAGCTGTTCTGTGTGGTCACGTGGGTATCTACAGATCAGAAGCAGTGAGTGTCAGCCCGAGAGATCAAAGCAGAAGATGGTGATAGACTAAAATGACGGTGGAAGGGTTGGAAAGCACTGACTAAATTGATCCTGTTATTGTACAGCAGGAGAGTCAGCTTGAGTGAGGGGGACATGCCTATCTTGGATAGGGGCTCAAATGCTTATTCTTAGGATGAAAGAAAGAACATGGTTAAAGTCACATGCAAGGTCGGGAATGGAATCCAGGTCTTGTGTCCAGTGTTAATCAGTTTCCCTTCCCCAAACAGACTGGGCCTGTCCTTAAAACTGCCTTGCCATAGCTGCTTCCTTCCTTTCCTCCCCACCCAGGGAAGGATTTATAAACTGCGCTGTCTTTAGAAGTTCTGTGGTGTGCATGCTGGTTATGGAATGTGTTGGCTTGAGGGGGAAGGGGTGCTCTAAATGGTTCTCGGGAAACCAGAGTAATTCCCAAGAACTCCTGTCCCTTGTCCCTTTTCTTAAGTTGTTGGGTGCTTACCCTGGTGACGGTGACTCTGTCTGTTTGCTTTAGGGCTAGCCTGGATAAGAAGCTGGCTGCCTCTGTGAACATCCTGCCTAAGGCATCCTCACTGTGAGTTTTGCTATGGCCTGTAGAAGGGTGTGGGGGTGCTAGGTCAGGTCCTGGCTGGTGGAAAGAACACTCAACTGCTGGGTATTTGTTTAATGAACAGTTCATTGTTAATTTGCATTCGGAGGAAGTCACCTAGTGGATTTCTGTCAACCAACAAAAGCAAAAATAGGAGAAGGGAGGAAAAAGACCTATAGTTTAGGAAAAGCGAATCTTGTTTGCACATTCTTTGTTTAAATTAGTTAGCTTGCTGTTAGCAAAGAAGTCCGACTGGGCATTCCATCCCTGAGTAAGCCTATTAGGGATATCAAAGAAGATAATTCCCACTGCTTTTGAATTCTCTGGAAAACTTTGAGGGGTTGGCTTATGTGACAAGCTGTTTTTGTGTTGTTTGCCTTTCATTTCTTTAACACCCTCACTTGAGTTAATTCTGGTCTGTTCCATTTCCCTCATCAAAATATGTCAGCATCCCAGTACTAGCTGTGCAGGATTTGTCTTGTGCCTTAATCTCTCCCATCCTAGCCTGTTTCTCATCTCCGTCTTCCCCTGGTTGGGTGGGGGGAGGGAGGGTGGGTGAGGAGAGAGAATATCTACTGTGAAGGTCAAAACAGAAAAGTGCTCTATAATGGAAGCTCCCTCCACACCCCTCCCCCAGTGATGTCATCCCCTCAGGGCTCACATCATCTATAGCTATATAGCTCCCAAATTTGGCTGTGCTTTAGATTCTTGAGCACCATTCTAGATCTGCTCTATCATTCTCCCTGAGAGTGGGGCTTGAGTCACTGAATTTTTAAAAAAATTGTGTAGGTGATTCACATAAAGCCAGTCTGGGAACCAGTGCTTGGGAACTAGAACAGAATTTCAGCCTCACATTCTCTTCATATGTCCATCCTTTTTATAATTGACCCCTTCACCGTAGCACCAGTGGCCTAGGTCATCTTAGACTTGCCCTGAGTCAGTGTAGATATTTTCAGGCCAACTTTCTTTCCCTTCCATTGATACTGCTTTTGGACTCTTTTCTGAACTTCATTACTGACTTTGTTTTTTAACTTTTGGACCTGTTTTCATATGTTATAAAGCTCACTTTTTCCCTGAAGTCTCCTGTGCTTTTTTAATTATCCATTTGTGGGCACTCCACTTTGAGAGTCAATAATAAAAGTAGCACTAGTCCAAAGGGTGGGAGGGGCCTAGAAGCCAGGAGTATAGGATGAGCATAGAAAGAGCTGCAGGGGCGCCTGGGTGGCACAGTCGGGTAAGTGTCCGGCTCCTGGTTTCGGCTCAGGTCGTGATCTCAGGGTCGTGAGATCGAGCCCTACCCTACATCAGGTTCCATGCTTAGCGCAGAGTGTGTTTGAGACTCTCTCTTATTAAGATAAATAAATAAAATCCAAAAGAGCTGGAGATGCCCAGTTTGGAGGAGAGAAAACATAGGAGTTTCTGCAGGGCTGCCCTGAAGTGGCTCTTCATATGGAAGTTGGAGAAAACGACTGGGTGGCAGATGTTGGCACGCCATAAAGAAAACCATCTCATGTTTTCTAGCCTGTAAGGTAGATCGATGGACTTCTTCAAGAGATGGTGAACCTCTCACCCCCAGGAATGTTTAGGCAGCTGCTAGAAGCATTCATTAGAATGGTGGGAGTAGATGACCTTTGGGGACTTGGCCAATTCCAGACATTTTTATGTGGGCTTGGAAAGATTTTAAAGTTTCTACCTTGGTAAGTCACCTGACTGGGTCAGGTCAGGCATCTCACTGGGCTCATCTTGTGAGCATGATAATTTGCTTTTGTTCTGTAGGTACTTTTGGAATGGAGAAATCGAAGAAGCCACTGAAATCCTGTTGGTGAGTGAGGATGGGGGCGTTGGGGCCTTGATAGGGGAAGAGTGAGACCAAGGCCTTTTCCCAGGTTCCAGGGAAAATTGAGCAAAGATCAACCGATGGAGGTTCTTGCCCCACATCAGATGCCCTGGGCTAATTTGCGAATGCATCAGTGTCTGGTCACCTGGAGGAATGCTGTTTCCTGAGTGGCCAGATGAATCGGTAGCTGCCCAGCTGGGCCTGAGGTCCTCCCTAAAGCAGGGACTTTTTTTTTTTTTTCTTTTACAGCTAATAAAGACAAAGACTTCCAAGGTCCACGTGCTATCCAGCTATATCAGGTAATGTTGGCATCTCAGCCAGGGACGTACTGGGGACTAAGTGAATGAGCTTGAAAATCAGGAGACTAGAGCCTAGTCACCAACCTCCCACATGACCCTGGGCACATCCCTGCCCCTCAGATTCTTCATCTGTAAAATGAGAGGCTAGAATGAGTTTGTTGAGACAATGGTTCTCAAAATTTTGGTCTCAGGATCCCTTTACATGTTTAAAAATTATCGAGGGGCCAGAGGAGCTTTGTTTGCATGGGTTATATTAAAGTTTATTATATTAGAAATTAAAACTGAGAAATTAAAAAAATATTTTAGTTCTTTTAAAATAATAGGGGTACCTGGTGGCTCGGTCGGTTAAGCATCCAGCTCTTGATTTCAACTCAGGTCATGATCTCAGGATCCTGGGATTGAGCTCCATGTCAGGCTCTGCACTGGGCACAGAGCCTGCTTAAGATTTTCTCTCTCCCTCTCTCTCTGCCCCTCACCCCCCCCAAAATAAAACAAACAAATACGTACACTGATGTGTGTCCCTAAAATAAGAAAATTCATTATCTCAAGTCACTGGATAAAATTACCCCAACTCCCAGATGTTTAAGCGCCTGTGCGTGTGTCGTGATTACTAAGTATGCTATCTCATGAGAACTTGACAGTGCCTCTTTCATTGGAAAGGAAGCAGGGGATTATCACCCCCATTTGACAGATGGGGGACTGAGGCCCAAGGCCTCATATATCTTTGGTCTGAGAAGTGAAGAGAACTTGCATTGTGTGCTGAAGGCCAGGTGAAAGAAATGGAGAGGAGGGAGAGATCCCTGTGGGTTTGGATAGTCGAGGAAGATCCGTTGGAGAAGGTCAGTGGTTGAGTAGGGACTTGAGGGATAAGATAAGCTTTTAAGTGATCAACAGAGAACTTTCTAGATGGAGAAGAGAATCCGGAGGTATAGGGAAGGGGGGAGCTTGTTTGGGGAAGGCACAGTGATGAGTGTGGGATAGTAATGACGACAGTAAGTGACATTTAACAGGGCACGCAAGGCTGGTCAGTATACCAGGTGAGTGCTTCATGTGCCTCATCGCATTTAATCACGGAGGGACTATTTTTATCCCCTCTTTTGTAGGGCCTTTGGAGAAACTAGGTGACCTGTCCATAGTTCCATAGCTATGAGGAGGGGCAGACTTAGAATTTGAACCCATGACTGTGAGACTCTAAAGCCATCTGGCCCAACTCCCCACTTGTTGACAGGTGGGAAACAGGTTCAGAAGTGGTGGGCCACTGCGCTGGACAAGGTGGGCTATGGCAGATCGCAGGGCAGCGCAGGTGACACTTTCCGGTTGGGTCTAATTGCATAGGCTGATTCTACTTACAGGGCTCTGCTTTCTTTCCAAAGGTTGGTGCATCCTTTTGAAATCCCAGAAGTCTTCAGTCTTCCCATGGACCAAGGAGATGTCCACTATTTCAAGTGGCTGGAGGAGGGCATGGAGGAGGACTGAGTTGGGGGCGGGGGGAGGCTTTTGTGTCTCCTGATGGCTGCCTCTAGCCTGCAGCAGCTGCACTCTGGGGAAAGGGGGCCTCTCTCTGCTTCCTAGCACCTCTGGATTCTATGTCATTACATCACGGAAGAGCTAAGGAACTTGAGAGGCTGAAGGTCTGAGCCCTGAGGCTGGACGAAGAGGCTGGGTTGGTCGGGCCAAGCAAGAACCCGGTGGAATTCGTCTCGACTGCTTCAGGCTTAAAGGTGGCTAGGGGGTGGGAGGGCGAGGATGGTTATGTGGGGAGGCCGAGGGGAGGTGGCAGTGAGGGTGAGGTTTGTCATCTCCTTCAGTCACTGGGCCTACCTCGAGTGCCCAGGATGTAATTACTCTTCTGCTTCTCATGAGGAGGAATGGACTTGGTGACCTGTTTACCCGAAGTGTGTGGGCTGAATGTCGCCTTCTAGGGGAACTGGCAAGCCCTTTACCCAAAAGGATGAATTGCTAATGGTAGAAATTTAGGGACAAGCAGGATTATTTCTTGTAACTAAAGATGCTATTTGTTATTCCTAAGTCCTGAGGAAGTAGGAATGGGCTTCATGAGTGTGGATAGGACTGCGGGAACATTAGGTATTAGACACAGCCTCATGGCTTAGAAGCAGGTCTAGACTCTTCCGTAGCCTGAATGTGACAGGTATCAGAAGGTTCTGGTGCCTTGCTCATTGGAGACATAGGTTCTGAGCCCATGGTACTAACCTTGTCGGTTGAGCATTGAAACTGAGCATCCTAAAGTGGAAAGACCCCTGGGAACTGCCAGACCAGTGTTTTCCAGACTTGTTCCCTTGGGTCTCAGAAGTTGACAGATGGTACCCTGGGTGCTTTGTGGGTGGGGGTAAGGCTCTGAGGCTCCCCACCCATACCTCAACCAGTATAACTACCTTTTATCATTTTTATGTATTAAGCTCACTTGTAAGATTTTGGGTTTTGTTTTGTTTTGTTAATTTTTTTGGTTAAAAGCTAGTAAACCAGTGGTCTAAGCCAGTCTCCATTTTATAGATTACCAAAGGAAACTGAACTGCACTGAGGTCCAGCAAGGGGGTGGTGTGTTGCATTAAGGATGGTAAGGCCAAGCCTGCTCACCCTGTGTCTGGTGCTCCTCTACCTCCTCCCTGGGTCTCAGGTGGAAGAGAGCAGGGAAGGCAGAGCCCCTTTGGGGTGAGAAGAAAGACTTGAGCTAGGCCCCCTCCATGAACCTGTCACAAGTTAACCTCGCTCTGGGGAGACTTGTGGGCAGTTTGCGTGGGGGTCCACAGACCTCTGTGGAATCCTGGGTCTTCCCAGATGGAAGGGTATGTGGGCCAGGCTCTAGTTCTGACACGAGCTGTGCTTCTTAAACCTTAGTTCCTCCAGATATAAAATGGAGGCCCTCCCAGGGCCCTTCTGTGAAGCTCTTGTAGGGACTTAAGGCTGAGGCTCTTCCAAAGGTCCAGAGGATCCTGTTTTATAGCCAGTGGGGATTTTGGACGGTTGCCTCAGGAAAAGGACAAAGAGAATGATAATGGTGATGTCCCTTTTTACAACAGATGTTTCTGATACATGTGAAAATCCTGGATAAAGTAAACCCTAGGGAAAGTGCTTTGGGGACCCCAGAAGGACTGCCTCTGTTGCTTTCGGGATAGAGCCCAGTTTCGTTTCTTTTTTTTTTGTTTAAGATTTTATTTATTTATTTGACAGAGAGAGCGCACAGCAGGGGGAGTGGCAGGCAGAGGCAGAGGGAGAAGCAGGCCTCCCGCAGAGCAGGGGGAGCCTGATGCAGGACTCGATCCCAGGACGCTGGGATCATGACCTGAGCCGAAGGCAGACGCTTCACCGACTGAGCCACCAGGCGCCCCAGAGCCCAATTTCTTGGTCTGGCCTTCAAGGCCCTTCACAGCCTTGCCTCACCTCACTTTTTCCATCTTCCCTTCCACCTGTCCTTGCCCACGCTGGCCAGGAGATGTCTCCAGTAGGCTGTGTGAAGCTCTTCCTGTGTTTGGGCCTCCCCTCAGCCTGGAGCGCCGCCCGCACGGGTGCCTGGGAAATCTGGCTGCCCCTTTGCAAGGCCAGCTCTGCTGGGAGGGAAGCTCTCCGGCCTCGGTGTCCCTGTCATCCTTGTGTATCACAGTCATCCTCCTGTTTCTAGATTGTGAGCTGCTCGAGGTCAAGGGCATGTCTGAATCTGTTTGAGCTCTTGCACAGGATTGGGCAAGTATTCCCAAATTGATGTTTCAAGGATTTGAATAAAGAGTTCTCTGTAGCCCACAGTTACTCATCTATGGAATTGGCAAAATCCAGCCTTTTTTCTTGGAACTTTCTTAAAGTGGGACTAATTCCAAAGGAGATTTTTCTATTTCTGACCTTCATTGGGGCATTTTCTGTGCTGACTGTGCACAGAAAACTGTTCCTTGGGGGACTTCCTTTGCCTCAGTGTCCCAGCTGACTACAGGAAATGGGAGAGGAGAGGACAAACGCCAGCTCTCTGCCTGGTGCTCTCCTAGGTTCTCCACGTTATTTTATCCTTCTGACTCATTGTTCTCCTCAGCTGGAAGCTGACTCCTGAGATCAGAGAGCATGACACTTAAAATACTGGGCCGAGCTAGGCTGTGAACCCACGTGTCCAATTCTAGATCTGATGCTCTTACACCTCCTTCAGAGAGGTTGGACATACCCTTGGTAGGCCAAACACCTAGAGAGCCTACTGTAGCCAGTTCTAAAAGAAGGGTTATTGGTTCCAAAAAACTGCAGTAAGTTGGTCTGACACTTAAAAATATATTGTATTGTTTACTTCTCCCCACAGATCTGGAGGCTGGTGATAGGATCTTTATTCTGCAGATGAGGGAACAGATCTAGAGGAGTCCAGTGATTTTTCAGGTCTGCGTGACTCCCAGCTTACTTACCCCAGACCACATGTCCCCCCAGAGTGCTGCTGTGGGGCTGGGCTAGGACCTAGACTAGCGGCTCCGGGCAGGAATGCCTTCCCAGCATTTCTCAGGAAGGGTCAGTTTTTTGAATCCAGAGTCTCCAGAAAAATCACTTGAGGAAATGAGAAAAAAATATTAAAATTATCTGTGAATACTGAAGCTTAAAAGCATAGAGATGTCAGCAGGTTTGAAGAAATCATTAGATAAAAAAAGAGCAAGAAACACCAACACGCAGAGTTGAGGGTCGAAGGGAAGGAGGACAGTAGTGTGCGGGAGAGGAATGATCACCACGGGGCCAGTCCTGCTTGCAGCTGTTGCTGACTCCCAAGTGCGTGTGTCTAGCCCTGTCTGCCGCAGACTGTGAGTTACTTTTGCAGATGAGTTTATACACATAGTATACATTAAACAAATTCTGTGAGCTTTGGTTGAAGAAATAAGCTTTGGAAGCAAAATAAATTTTAATTGAGCAATTTTGACACGTGATTTCATGTAGTATTCTTAACCTTGCTAGGATATTTGAATGTTCTTTGAATGCTATCCAGTAATGTTCCCTGGCATTTTCCAGTGTTTAAATATTCCCTGTAGGCTACAGTTCTTTGTAAATACTACTAAGTAAAATTCCTATTAAAATTTTTTCAGATATCTATGATAATGGGGAAAATATGAAAAATGTTTTAAGTATTTTAAGAATAACTTATGATTTGGGGAATTTTTGAGAATTCTAATTTCTTGTTCCTAAGCTCCAAAGGTAAGTATTTATTGTAAATCTGAATCACTAATCTAGACCACAAAGAACCAGGCACTCTTCAGACTGGGAAGGACCACTGATCTGAGGAGGTCTATACAGTTGTTCACTTTGGAATTTGGACTGGAACCCAAGTCTCTTGACACCACAGACCATTCACTTTTCATTCCATTAAACTGATTTCAGCCCAAAGAATAATCCCACTCCCTTCTCCCACCCTGGCTCCAACTGTGATTTTGTTCTAAGGGCAGTTAAAAGGCCAAAGCAGAAAGCATGGTAGCAAAAAGTGGGAGCCACAGTTAATGAAGTTCTAAGTGCAGACATTAATAGGCTACACTCTAGGGTGTTTAACAGGCTACACTCTACCCCTGAAATTATAAATCCACTTGAACCGTGGCCTGTACCTCCCTATTTCTGACTTTTTCCTATCCCTTCATGCCAATTTTTTTTTTTTTTTTTCAAATTCAGACAAGCTTAAGGTCCTAACCCATCACATATGTGAAATGGTTTCCTCTTTCACCTGGGGGCTGACTTCAGCAAGGATTACTGCTGGCATTGGAAGGGTGAGGAATGCAAAGGAACCTGCCCAAAGTGCTGTAAGTTATAACTAGCAGAGACAGGCCTAGAACTGACTGCAGATTTCTAGGATTGTGTGCCTGTGTGCATTAAGTCGTTTTACAGTGGCTGTACATAAGTATTTTAACAAGGTCTGTTTCTAAGGCCATTTCCCATCTTTTACTTCTCCACGGCTGTCAGCTAATGCTTTTTGCCCTGATGGGTCAGGTACTCACAGATAAAAAGTTCCACATCCTGTTGGTGGTAAGGGTGAGAGTATTGTGGGGTAGAATGTGGGAGGCAGTTGAAGGACTGGCAGATGGCCAGATGGGGTCCTGTCATTCCTCCTCAGTTTCCAGGAAACCAAGACCAGAAACCAGATAATTCCTCCTGGCGCCCAACGGCTGATAGTTCGTTCACTAGAGGGAAGATAGTTAATTTTTCAAAGGGAGCTTTTAAATTATAAACCAGACACATTAATTATAACTTTAATATAACAAATGTTATTAAAAGCAGCAAATTCAAAACCATAAATCTTTTCAAAGGTGCATAGGGTTATTATAAGGTAAGTTGGCAGTAATGCAGCTGTTAACTGGTAATGAAATGCTGGGATGTGGAGTCAAGGTGGCCTTACTAGGCCTTATGCTGACTTTCCAAATGAGGCAGACACCCCCTTCCCCCCTTCCCCTTCTTCAAGCCCAGAGCCACTCTGGAGCTTGAGTAGAGAAGGTACAAGTGCACTGTGGCAGGCCTTGCTCATCCTGTGCTTTCTCAGAACCCTAGAAAGCAGGCCTGGGGGGGTTGCTGTACCCTCGGAAGCCACAGATCGGATCCCAGGTCCCACACCCCTGCCAGGCGGGGGGCTGGCTTCTCAGCTTCCCTTCCATCTGGCCCCAGTTGGGGGCTTCAGTGGCAGCAGCTGTGGGGCTGAGAAGGGAGAGAACGGGGCCCACCCCCAGCTGTTCCCTGCCTGGCTCACGCTAGGGTAGCAGAGGGAAGTGGGTGGGCCGTGTGCAGGAGGTGAGGTCCTGTGTGAAAGGCACTATAGGAGCTAAGTTTGAGGCAAGGGGCATCTGGATGATCTCAGGGACTCCCTGATGCTCACAGATGGGGAGGGGCTGAGCCTAGCAATGGAAAAACCAGCTCCCCAGGCCCGCTGCTCCCACGCCACCCCTCTGGTCATCCACCTTTGCCCTGCAGCTGGCGGCCTGCAAAACCCAGCCAAGCTGGGGGCCGCAGCAGCGGTTGGCAAGGCTGGTGCCCATCTGGCCCAGCCCCTGCCCTAGTGAAGGCACTTCTTTCTACTTTCTAATCATGTCAGTTTCTAATATCTCTGGAAGCAGCAAAAATGAGGGGTCCCCCTCCCCTTCTCACTTTTGGTTATCCTCCAGATGGGTAGGAGTTGTAATGTCAGTTCTAAGAATTCTATTTTTAACCCCACTGACAAAGACTTTCCTTTGAGGGGACTGAATAACACAAGCCCTTTGAAAATCCCAACCTGTCCCAAAAAGTGATTGTCAATCTCAGGGCACAGCAGGGGCTAAGGAAGAGGGTAGGCGTCCTCTGTGCCTCCCCGCGGGGTCACAGCTGGTTCATGGCTGAAAGAAGGGGGCAGGGGCTGGGCTTCCACGTGTGGTTGCAGCATGCGGCCCTGAAGAGGGCCGAGGGAGAGCCAGGGGCAGGAACCAGGCTGGTACCAGAGGGAGTGGGGGTGTGTGGTGTGGGTGTGTGTGGTGTGTACTCCGGAGGGTGAAAGCACACGGGCGATGGGGGCTTCTGTGTGAGTGTGTGTTGTCTGGCCGCGTGTGTGGTGGGTCGGGGACTGGGAGGCACAGGAGACATCTGAAGGTTAGCATGACAGGGCTTCCTTTCCTCCCACTTCCTCTCCTGCAGGTTTTCCAGGCCACTTCATGCCAGCAAGGCCAGGCGCAGCTCCTTGGCAACTGTGAGGGGGTGTGGCCAGGGAGAGGACGACTCCTGGGACCTGGGAAGCTGACACCCACAGCCTTTACGCTTAGCCTTAGTCATTGGGCTCTGGTGTTGGTGCCTTTGGAGGCAGAGACCCAGCCTCTTCGGGCATCAGATCCCAAGAGTCCCAGGCTCTCTGCCTCCCAGGCTTTCACAGAGGTGGTCTCCCACCCTCACCACCCCTGGCCAGGGGCAGCAGGGAATGGCAGGAAGGCGGGAGGGGAAAAGCTCTGAGAGGCGTCCTCTTCTCTACCTTCAGCAATGCTTCACGGTTCCTGTTCTTATAATGCGATCCGGGGGTCGACTGGCTGCGCATGGGTCAGGGGTGAAGGACATCCAGGAGAGGGACAGCCATGCATGTGTAAGTGTGTAAACGCACACACCCAGAAGGGGTGGGAGAGAGGGACGCAGACAAAGAGAAAGACTCGGCCTCAGGAGAAAGGGTCGGAGAGCCAGGGGGACACCAATTCAGAGTTACAGGCAAACAGTTTGAGGGCGTGTGAGGAGACACTGAGGCATAGCCAGTGGGACCTTAGAGACACAGGCAAAGGGGTGAGGAGCCGGAGGAGGCCGAAGAGCAGAATGGGCACGCAGAGCGGCGCAGGCCTCGGCCTGGCAGGCGGGCGCGAAGGGCCTTTTGCCAGGCACTGGGAGCTGTCTTGCTTTCCTCCCCCATCCCCGCCTGGAGAGGAGTGTCTCTCCGTTGGTTTCCAGGCTCCTGGCATCTCCTGGAGCGAGTCAGTAAGGGGTGGTCCCTTCCCACTCCACCAGGTACTGAACCTTGCCCTCGGGCGTGACCCTCCTGGCCAACACCTGGTACTTCTCCCCGCAGGCTAGCCGCCCGGCCGCGCCAAAGTAGTTGGTGATGGATGACTTGAGGTGGGACAAGGACGAGTCATCCTCACTGATGCTCTCGAAGGTGTGGCTGTCGATGCCTTCGTCCGGCCGCTCGGGGCCTGAAGCCCCCTCGGCACTGCTGTCCGAGGGGCAGCGCCCACCCAGCTCGGCTGCCCGCCGCTTTGCCCGCAGCGGCATATACGCTTTGGCCGCCAGCTTCCTCTTGCGGCTGCCCACTGTCCGTCTGCGTCAGGATGGGGAGAGGAAGACGACGGGAATGGGATGGAGTCATACTGACAAGCCCCTCTCCCCGAGTACCCCCTGGGCACCTGGCGCTGGGATGGAGCACCTCCCTGGATCCTCACCACAGTCCCGAGGAGGCTCGGGGAGGCGGGGGGGAACGGCCCGCGGGGGGAGTGACAGTGTGTGCTGTGTGTGCCCAGCGCTAAAGTCCGCTTGCTGAGGCCCTGCCTGCGCTGCCTTGTCCCTTCCCTGGACTGTCCCTGGACTCGCAGCTAGGAGTCCAGTGGCTGGGGGAATGGGAGCGACCCACTAACGGACCTTGTCCCCAGAGCCTGGACTGGAGAAAGGCAGACGTGCGTGTGCAACACATACACAGGGAAAGAGCTGGGGGAGAGACAGACACACAAAACAAGAGGTGTGTGTCCACAGGTGCTTAGAAACAGGAAGCAAGCCCCGAAGAGCTTGTGAGAACCAAAGAAACAGGAGGAACCAAATACAAATACAGAGGTGATGGCAGAGAGAGACACCCAGAGAGGCCTGCGGGCGGACAGACGCCAGGACACGAGTGTCCTAGAACGCAGTTGCAGGAGCCTCCTGCGCCGCTGAGGACAGGCTACTGCCAAACAGACGGTAGCCTTGCCTAGGTCCCCAGGCGTTTCTGTCCCCTCTCCCAGGCCCCACCCCCTGCGTGATGCCATTTCCCCCTCCATCGGGCTTCCAAATCAATGGCTCTTTTCCTTAGGGACCCAGAAGACAGACCCCAGATTTAGACAGCCAAGAAGCAGGGCACCCTGCGCTCAGAGGCAGAGAGACATGCAAAGCCATGGCCCATGGAGGCCAAGAATCCTAGCGCGGAAACTCCCCAGGGACAAGTGTCACATCACCCGCAGTCGGGGCAGAGCACCGTGAATGGCCGTACGCAGCCCCGCCTGAACCCCAGGACTCCGAAGCAGATGGTCCCAGATCCAGACTCATGAGCGGAGAGGGCCAGGTCCCCGAGCTTGAGGAGGCACGGGGTGGGGGGGACCTCACCTGGAGTCGTAGGAGAGGCTGGTGGAGGCCGAGCCAGAGGTGCTGGCGGCGTCAGTGGAGTCCACGTCTGAGAAGAAGGTCTGGCCTGAGCTGGCGCTGAGAGGGAGCAGAGCGTGAGCCTGGCCCCCGACACCTGGCTACTCTCCAGACCCGAACGGCCTTCATTTCTAGCACCTGTTTCAACCTCCTACCAGCCATGCAGACACAGGTGATGAGGTTCAGAGAGGCTGAAGGACTCTGCTGGGGCTGCACAGTTTAGTAGCTGCTCAGTAGGGGCTGGAGCCCAGGCCTGTCTGACCGAAGCCCTTGCCCTGCTCCAGGAAGCACTAAATGACCTTTCATCATTTCAGAACCGAAACGGGACTGTGCAGGCCCCTCCCTGAGGTGCACCGACACAGTCTGGGGCGCGTCAGGGAAGGCGCCCTGGAGGAATGGGAATGCAGGGTAACCAAAGCAATTCTGGTGCACGGCGGGAGGGCCGGCAGAAGCAGGAGAGGGGCTGGAGAGGTCGGGAGGGGCTCAGGCAAAGTGGCCTGTGACCGTGCTCTGGGGGTCTGTCCTGGCCACCTTCCAGCAGGGGCATGGCGTGCCAAGACAGCTCTAATGTGGGAAGACCGGGCAGGCAGCCGAGGTAGGCAGCCTAATGCAGCGTGGACCCCTTTAACTGGAATGACCCCGAGGGAGCTTCCACTCTTGAAACGCTCTCTGCTTTGTCCCTTCCAGAGCCTGCCTTCATTGATGGGGAATGGAGGTCTCACTACCTGCTTCCGCCCCACACTTCAGAGCAGCCCTCTCTTGCCGGGTTCCTCACTGTTACCTTTTTAAGCTCTGAATTTCATCGAGCGAGAAGTCGAATATGCTGGCTAGGTGGTGGTTGGTGCTCCAGGCTGAGGTAAAGTCGCTCTGTGGACACAGGAAGGAGGGGAAGGAGGGTCAGTGAGCATCAGACCTGCCTCACAGCAGCCTCTCTCTGCCGAGGGCCACACAGGCTCTCCGAGGACTGGGCCTCCGGACGGTAAGACTGGTCACTCGCTTTTTGGTCCCAGGCTGGAGCCGGATCACAGCGGGCCTAGCCCTGACTCCCTCTCTAGCCGACTGCGCCGCCTTCCCATCTCTGGGCCTCAGTCACCCGAACTGCAGAAGGCGGACAGGGACAGCTGCTGGGCTTCCCCGCGCCCAGGGCTGGGACGCAGAGCAGAGTGAGATGCTGACTACGAGCAGCTTGCCCAGCGTCAGGTGCGGGGCAGGTGTGAGGACCACTGGCGTCACCGTCCACACGGAGGGCTGCCGCGCCGAGGCCCGGCCACTAAGGAAAGAGCGCTCTGGGGACCTGTTCTAGGCTGGGCTCAGCCACTGGCTGACGTGTGACCTCAGGAGAGTCGCTGGCCCTTCCTGGTCCGCAGTGACCCCACGGGACTGTGGGGGCAAGGACATTACCTCTCCTGCCCTGCCCCCTCGGCTGCTGGGGAGAACTTGAGGAGATAAGGGAGTGGTCTTGCAGTGCCTTAGCCTTTGCTTGTTTAGCTAGAGGAGGAACTGGCTTCTCCTTTAAGGGACGTGGGAGAGTTTCCCCCTAGGCCTGGGGTGCTCAGTTCCCTGCACAGGAATCCCTACTGTGTGCTGACCCTGTGTGTGAATGTGGAGAGCAAGAAAACAAGAAACTAACACTGGGAATAGCATCTTCCAGCAAAAACTTTGATCTTTTTCTTCTATAAACTCGCCTTTTCTGCTGCTGGAATTCGTGAGGCAACAAACTGTGGAGACAGAAAGGGGAGAGGGGGGCTGGGTCAGAGCCTGAAGGCCCAGGGGGAGGAGAGGCAGGGCTGGGGACACAGCAGTGCAGGGTGGGGGGGGCAGGCGCTCCTTCCAGGCAGTGGGTGTGGGAGGGCGTCGGGGGGGGTATGGTGGGCAGAAGAGAGAGAAGGCTGGTCTGTCCCCGACGCCCAGGACGAGGGGCTCAGCTCAGCCAGAACCAGGAACCCCTTACACACTCTCACTTCCCCCTTCCCTCTCTGCCTAAGCCCTAACCCAGCAAGACTGGGCCCCATGAGCTGGCTTGCCCTCCAAGCAAGGCAACAGGGGCGACGGTGGAAGGAGCCCAGGGTGTGGGACTGGGCCCCAGCTCGGTTGCTAACTGACCCTCTCTGGTGCCTCCAGCTGGGCCTAGCGGGGTGGAGGTCTTCCCTGCTCACTTGGGCCCCCTGTCTGGGCCCACTGCACAGCCCATCGGCTGGGGCTGTAGCTAGGAGTAGCAGAGACCCCGAGCTTGCTCCCCGGGCACTGACCCAGGCTTGTTCCTTCCTCTCTTACGCAGCTCAGAGGAGGCGCCGCTCTCAGTGGGCGCCAGGCCCTTGTCAGGCAGCAGCTTCCCTGGGGGGTTGGGGGGGACACGGATACGCAGACGGAAGATGCACTTCTTCTTCTTGATCTCCTTGCCACAGAGGAACCTGGGGGATGGGCAGGGGGAGGAGAAAGCTCTGGAGTCTGTCGGTCCATCCTCCTGGTCAGGAGAGTCAGGCATTAAAATTACCCTCTCTGCCTCCTCAGACCTAGAGCTAAAATCCAGGGTTGCCTGTGGAGACGCTGATTCCTCAAGGCCCGTGGGACCAAGGGTCCCGGGTGGTGGCTGGGGATGTGACTGATGCTTCCTCCCTGTCCTCCCTCTTGCATGTATGATTCTTGCTGCTCCTCTCCCTTTTCTTCTCTGCCTCAACTGGCCCCAAGGTCACCACCTCCAGGAAGGCCTCCTCTAGCTCCCAGTGGAACAGCTATGGCCGACACTGGATTCTACACCATTCCGTTTTCTGGTCTCCCCAAGGAGACTGAAAACACCTCCAGGTGCTTCCCTCCTCCTTCCAACACTGGCTGAGCTGCCATGAGGTGAGGACGTGACTCAGACAGTCCTACCCTCAGAAGACTGTCCACAGGGAGTGTGGGAGGCCCCACTGTTCAAGAGTAGGACTGTGTCTGGGCCCCAAACCATGAGAAGGTGGAAGAGAGAGTGGATAATTCTGTCTAGAGATGTCTGGAGAGGTTTCACAGAAGCAGGGACCATGTCCTATTCCTCACTATGTCCTTGGTACCTACACCGGGCTGACACAGTAGCAGTTCAATAGTCGTTTGTAGAACAAATGAGTGAAAGGGATGGAAGAGCATTCTAGTCAACAGAGGGGTCTGAGCAAAAGCACTGACTGGGAGAGCAGTGGGTTCAGAATGGCCAACACCCAGAATAAATAAAGCAATGGATCAATGGCAGAAGGCATGGGCAGGGTCTGCTCATGAGAGGCCTTGAATGCCGTGCTCAGGAGCCTGGGCATTCCCTGCAGCGGCAGCACGGGATGTGTCAGCTGTGTGTTCTGAGAAGGACTTGGAAGTCTGGAGGAAAGATGAGTTAGGAGGCTGCAGCCCACCCAGGAGATGATGAATTGATCCTTCAGTGCCTGGCCCAGAACCACAGATGGCGAGAGCAGGAGGGGCCCTCAAAGCTCAGGGGTGCACCCTCTATGGAGCCGAACCCAGAACTCAAATGCATCAAGCTGCTGGAGTGGTTGGGGAGGCATCACAAAGGAGGTGGGGTGCCCCCTGAATCTTGAAGAATGGGTAGGACTTATTTAGTCAAAGAGAAGGGGAGAGAGACCCAGGCTGGAGCACAGTTTGAGCAAAGGCCATGAGGCAGGAAGATGCTTTACACCCAATCCCACCTGTTGGGGGCCCCATGCACTCCCTCCCTTCCCTGCACGCACCGGCTTTTGTAACTGTTCAGCGCATTGAGGAGATGTGGTCCTCGGTCAGTCACGGGGGTGCTGGTGAGCTGAGGGGAGCAGCCAGCAGGAGAATCAGACCTAGGCACATGACCCCTGTCCCCTCCCTCCCCTCGATCTCTGAGTGAGGGCCCTGACTTCTGCTAAGATCCTAAATCTTTTCACCTCTCTGAGCTCACTTCTCCATCTGGAAATGGGAGAGTTAACTCCTGTCCTAGATGGATCAAGAGGTTTAATGGGACACCTGGGTGGCTCAGTCGGTTAAGCATCTGCCTTCAGCTCAAGACATGATCCCAGGGTTCTGGAATCGAGCCCCGCATCAGGCTCCCTGCTCAGCGAGGAGTCTGCTTCTTCTCTCTCTACCCCTCCCCCCCCACTCGTTCTCTCTCTCTGGCGCATGCATGCGCTCTCTCTCTCAAATAAAATCTAAAAAAAAAAAAAAGGTTTAAGAATGCCCATGCCCTTGACCCAGTCATGCCACTCCACGGGATCTATCATAGAAATAGAACGTGAAATTCGAACAAAGCTTCCCTGCAGCGTCAGCCCTAATGACCGGCAAGTGTGCAGAGCGGGGAAGAGACTCCCTGCCCAACAGGAAGGAACACAGTAAGTAAGCCGTGGTGGAAACCAACGGAGTCATTAAAAATGTTGATGAAAACTCTTTCGGAATATGGAAAAGTATTTATGATATAACGTAAGGTGAAAAAAATAGATGATTTAAAATTTTATATACTATATAACATAAACCAAGGAAAAACAGACAGAAGAAAGGATGGAATATATTAGTAGCAACTGTTTCTGAGTGGTGTGATGCGGGAATATGGGGGAATACTTTTTTTTTTAAGTAGGCTCCACACCCAGCGTGGAGCCCATCACGGGGCCCAAACTCAAGACTCTGAGATCAAGACCTAAGCTGAGATCAAGAGTCAGATACTTAACTGACGGACCCACCAGGTGCTCCCGGATGATTTTTTTTTAAGTATACTTCCTTATACTTTTTAGTGCTTAAATTTTTCTACCAGGAACATGTATGTTCTTTTCATAAATCAGGAAAAAAGATATTAAAAATACCAGCTCTATCTTTTAAGGCTTTACAATATGTATATCTTTTTTTTTTTAGATTTATTGATCTATTTTAGAGAGAGAGAGGAGAAGAGACAGGCACATGAGCACACACACGGAAGGAGGGGGAGTCTGAAGCAGACTCCCTGCTGAGCACAGAGCCTGATGCAGGCTGGATCCCATGACCAGAGCCAAAACCAAGAATCAGCTGCTCAACTGACCGTGTCACCCAGGTGCCACAAAAATATTTATGTCTTATAAATTATCAAACACTATAGATGAAGATGTTATTATATGAAAAGCTTCTACAAAGCATAAGAGTCTTTTTTTTTTTTTTTTTTTTTTGTAAATTCCTGTCTCATCAAAGAGAGATTTGGGGCAGTCAGTAGAGAAGATACCTCACTCTGGATTGGTGGAGAGGACTCTAAGGTTGTCGTTAGGGAAAAAGGGGCATGGCCCCACCATGGGAGAGGTTGGTTCCAGTCCTGGCTCAGCTCCAAAGCTGTGCTGGCCGCCAGCGAGTCACTCTCCACCTCTGACATCCTGAAAGTCTCTGGTTTGTTACTTTACTCCCTGGGTCCCAGGGCCCCTGGGACGACTTCTGCTATTCAGAGTAAGACCAGCAGGGGGCAGGCCCACTTCACTTTCCACTGTCATCCGGAGGACGTCATCCGGAGGACGTCAAACTTCTCTGCAGAGAGCCCTGTTCCAGCCAGATGCACCCCTAGCTCCCTGCTGCTGAGTCAGTGAGACCCCAACCCGCCCACTGCCAAAGCCTGGGTCAGGAAGCCCCTTGCAGGGCACTGGCCTAGAGGCTTGGACTCAGGGACGTGGCAGCTAAGAGGCTCTGGGTCTTTCTCCCAGCCAACAGCCCTCACAGACAGGCAGTGCTACAGGAGAGTGAGCCCTCAGACACCGAGATCCCAGTCCTGCATGCACCGTGTGGCCCTGGGCAAACCTCTCCCCTCTCCTGACCTCGGTAAGCCCACTGTGGAACGGACTCCTGCCATTCTGCCGTCCCATGGGCCTGCGTACCTTGCCAAGCTGCAGGAGCTCCCAGTGGTGGTTGACAAAGGCCAGAATCTCCTCAAAGTCAAAGTACTTCTTCTTGCTCTGCACCCCCAGGTTGTAGAGGGCCAGGTGAACCACATCCACCCTGGGCAAGGGGGCGAGTAGGTGGGGCTGGGGTGAGGTGGCAGCCTGCCCAACCAGGGCTGGAACCTCCTGGGTCCAGGCTGAAGGGCAGGGGCAAGGCTGGGAGCTGGTGGCTGGAAATGGAATTGTTCCCGGAGGGCGGTGGGAGCAGAGCCGCTGGGAGGGGACGGGGGTGGGCCTGGGTCAAGCCCCACCCTCTCACCATCGAAGGGGCAGCCGCTCGATGTACTCCGGGCCCTGGTTACACACGGAGCAGAAGAACAGGTAGAACCTGGGGGCGGGTGGAGAGGGGCCTGTGGTGGGAAGAGCTGACACCCCACCCTAGCCCAGCCCCTCACCCCGCACTCCCCACCTGCCTTCCCACAGTAAGTGTCATCCTCATCCCGAGGGCTAGTGGCCCTACAGGGGGTGGGGATTAGCATGGGGCAGGACAAACACCATGAAATACTCCCCTGCCCCTCCTTCCCCTATGTTGGTATCCTGGAGTGTGGCTGAGTTCAGAGTGAGCTGAGCAAGGCTGGGCTGGAGCCGGCACCCTCTTCCCCTGAGACATGGCGCGTGCACGCACACACACAATCAAAAACATGACACACCAACCGAGACACACAGTATCTGGTACGACGACACACATAACCCTTCTGTTAGCTTAGCCCCATCTGTCAGAGGCCAGATCAACCATCCACCTCCCAGTGGCTCCTCTAGTAGCCTGGGTAGGGGTGGGGCGGGGCCTGCCTCATCCTCCTTCCTCAGACACTGGAGGAGACCAGGGCTTAGGGAAGGTGGGACTTTGTCTAAGGTCTCCCCCTGAGTCAGTGGCAACTGGGGCCACAGCCTGGCACGCTCCTTGACTGAGAAGGCCCCCCTCGCCCTGAGCGGACTCCCCAGGACAGGTGCCCACCATCAGAGACCCCCACCCGCCTGCGTAGGGCCCAGCAGGCGGTCTGCAGGAGCCGCTGCCCCTGCTGAGGCCCCTCCCCCCACCTGCCCACCTCCCCCGCGAGGCTGAGCCGGGCCAGGTGAGCACCTACCGGTCTCCGAACATCATGGGCTCGTTGAGGCACTGGGTGCAGGCCTCGTGGAACCACTGCCGGCACCGGTAACACTGCAGCATCCGCAGGTACCATCTGGAGCCAGAGGAGCCAGGGTCAGGCAGGCCACGCTCCCAGCCAACCACCAGCCTCAGCCACCGCTCCCTACACCAACTCGCACTCCGCGGGGGGGGGGGGGGGGCGGGGGGGGACTCACAGTTACCGAGCACCCAGGCTGCGCCAGGGGCGGTCGGGGGAGCAGGCGTGTGCTCTACTGTTTCATCTCACCATCTGGTAAAAGACGGGCCACTGTCCTAATTTTACAGGTGACTCTGAGCTTAAATGGCTTGCTCAAGGTCACTCAGGAAGCAAGTGGTGGATGGTGACTCAAATCCTGGGCTCCCTCACTTCAAAGCCTGTGCTCTTCATGCCGCCCTGGAGCCCCCATCTCTGGACTGCGCCCCACACACTGTTTCTCAGACACCACCGAAATGCAAAGGTTTGCCCAAGAGACACGCAGGAAACTAATGGCTCCTGCAAGCTCCATGGGGCAGCACCGCGTCTGGTTTTTCTTACCCGGTACTGTATCTACCCTCTCATGTGAATGAAGGGCAAAGTGGTACTTCCTTAACGACAATCGATGCTTTGTTCACAACTTGCTGGGTGAGGTCCCTGGACTGCGTGCGTCAGAATCACCTGGGGTCTAGGTTAAACTATGAAGATCCCTTGGTCCACTCGAGACCTACTCAATCTTTGGGGGAGCCCCTGGGAGATGCATTTTTAACAGTCACCCTGAGCAGCTCTGCCCAGTAAGCACTGAGAGCTACTGTCTCAATTCTGTAAAGGTCTCGTTAAGCATTTCTCCCCGTATCCCACACCCCTTCCCAGCTCAGGGAAGTTGATCCCACATGAGAGATGAAATACTTCAAGGGATTTGCCCAAATCACCCAGTTAGGCTGGGTAAGCCCAGCCTCCAGACCCCTACTACTTGTCAACAGATCTTGGCGCCAAGATTCAGGGCATCCTGCAGGCTGTGTCCTGAGGGCAGAGACCCTATCTCTCACTTCTGTGGTTCCTGCCACCATGTCTGGTGCAGTCAGCCCAAGGGAGCAGGCTCAATCGCCCATGGCTACATGGACACCCAGCCTGGTAAAGAAGAATCAACCAAAGACTCTTGTCCTATAGTCGGGGTAAGAATCTCCTCCACAGCATCCCTACACATGACCCCCAGCCCCTACTTGCACACCTCCAGAGGAAAGTACCTTAATATCTCATCAGCAGCCTATCTCATTGACTCTGACAACGGAAAGGTTTATCTTCAATTCCATGCACCAACAGTAACAGCTCACATTTATTAAGTGCTGACCAAGTGCCAGGCCCTGGGTGAGACTTTCTGTGAATTATCTAATCGCTACTCTGCTCACAACACCATATACGGGGACACTACGATGAGAACTGCGTTCAGGGGCTGCGCACAGCTCCAAGGAGCTGGGAGGATCTGGACACTCGCTTCAGTACTTCCTTCCCTTCCCGGAAGCCTGGGTCTGAGAGCGCTAGCCTCGCCCCCTCGAGCCCCGGCCCCACCCCCGGGGGGCCCGCCCCCCACCCAGGACTCCACCCCGCGCCCCGCCCCCCGGGGAAGGCCCCGCCCCGCGGCCTTACTCTCCCGGCCCGCCGCAGTAGCAGTAGCACTGCTGCTGGTTGGTGCGGTGGGGCGAGTCCCACTCGAGCTCCTCGGGCTGGTAGGACAGCACCATCTTCACGGCCTGCAGCGTCCTGGCGATGGCGCCCTTCTTCAGCGCGCCGCCTTTCTGCGGGGAGATGTGGGTCCGGCTCAGCCGCGGGGTCCGGGCAGGGGTTGGTGGCTGGGGGGAGGGGAGGTGGCTAGCAAGGGACATGCTGGCCCCGCGGACCCGCAGATATTCCAGTGTAGTCGGAAGCGCAAGAAGCTTTTTCTCATCGATCCTGAATCTATTCTCTCTCCAGCCCAGAAGGCTCTCTCTTGAGGAGCAACAATATAGGTAACGATAATAACCAGTATGTTTTGAGTGGGGGCGCTCACATGGGTTTTGTCCGTTGATAGCAAAGCGCCTACGCCTGGCACCAAACCCATATCCATTTTGCCATTTGTTGAGGAAACAGGCTCAGGGGGCGTAAGGAACCTGGCCAAGGACATACCACTTGCGATCAATGGCAGCAGCACTGTCTGCCTCCAAAGCCCAGGCTCTGCGACCTGCAGTCCGGCCTGAGCCCAGGGAGTCTAGGCTTCCCGGTGAAGTGGGGGAAGGCAGGGACTGCAAAGATGGAGGGCTCACCCGCACAGCCAGCGCGAAGATGCAGCGTCGGCAGAACCAAGGTGTGAGCAGGGGCCGGTCCGCACTGCCCGCTCTAGGGATGTGGCACTGCTGGTGGTACCCTACAGCAGAGGGGGGCTGGTGAGTGCCTGCGGGGAAGCAGTGGCCCTGGGCCAGTCAGCCCAAAGGCCACAGGGCTGGGGAGGGCGGCCGCAAGTCGGAGGAGCCTTATGCCTGCCGGCTGCCTGGGGACTGGCGGGCGATGCTCACCAAGGCAGCCAAGCTGGTGTCCAAGCAGGCGACTCAAAGACAGCCTGGGCCCCAGCGGGGGGAGGCACCACAGTCTGGCTTCAGCCTCTGTGCCCCATCTCTCCACCCTTCCTCTCCACTGGATTAGGGGGAGCTCCAACCTGCACACCTTGTCTCACTTTCCAGAAGCCCCAGCTCTCCCCAGGGGTCACCTCCCTGGGCCCTCATTCCCAGAGACTGGCTCCCTGTCACTCTGGAGCTCCAACAGAAATAGGAAGCCAGCTGAGATCCCAACAGTGAGGCCTGCCCATTGGGCCAGCGGGGGTGGGGAACCGCAGATTGGGGCCTCCTCTGTGCCCTGCTCACCACACTCACCCAGGCCACACTTCCCACAGATGAGGATCTCATTCAAAGGCCCTGACGTCTTCCCCAGACAGATGTTGCACTTGGGCTCCTCCCCTGGAACGCCAGCTGAAAGGGAAAGAGGTCCTCCAGGGTCAGTTCTGGCTCACAGGAATTAGAAGAGTTTAAAATTCACCTTCCAGGTACTGAGCCTCTACTCAGTGCAGAGCCTAGCACTGGGCCCCACGGGCCCACTCACTGAGTCTCCCCAACCACTCTGAGGTACCTAGTATCATTAGCCCATTCTAAAGATGGTAAAACTGAGGCTCAGAGCGGTTAAGTCCCAGAAGTTAAATAGGAGATGGATTTGAACCCATGGCTGTTTGACATCAAATCCTTTGTTCTTTCTGACCACATCATGCTGCCTCTTCGCCTAATTTAATTTGTTTCTTAAACATGTTTTTTTAATTTTGTTTTCTTTTTTTTTTTTTTAAGATTTTATTTATTTATTTGACAGAGAGAGAGACAGCGAGAGCAGGAACACAAGCAGGGGGAGTGGAGAGGGAGAAGCAGGCTTCCCGCCGAGCAGGGAGCCCGATACGGGGCTCGATCCCAGGACCCTGGGATCATGACTTGAGCTGAAGGCAGATGCTTAACAACTGAGCCACCCAGGTGCCCCTCTTAAACATTTTTTATGTTAACAATAATAGGATGTTATAATGAAACTCCATGTTCTTATCGACAATGAAGAACTCATAGCCAATCTTGTTTTGACTACATTCCTACCCACTTCCCCCTCTTGTATTATTTTTAATCAATTCCCAGATACCTAACCATTTTCTGAAAATATTTCAGTATGTAATTCTGAAAGATTAGGATCCCTTTAAAAAAACCCAACATAACTACAGTGCCTTTATTGCACCTAAAAATTAAAAACAATTTCTTAATATCACCAACAAATTCAATTAGTGTTCACATTTCCAACTGTTTCTTAAATAAAAATGTCATAACAATTTTAAGTATGCTCAACTGCTTTTAATCTACAAGTTCTTTCTCATCTCTTTTTTTTTTTTTTGGTTATTGTTAAAGAATATGTGTGTTTATGTGTGAAAGGTTTGAGTGAATAAATTAACACATTCTGATACATGTTTCTGTCTTGTTCCCCCTAGTGGACTGAAAGTTTTATAAGAGCAGAAATGGTATCTGCTCATCACTATGTCCCCAGGACCTTATACATTGTGTAGCACATAATGTGTTGAGGACACATCTGTTGAATACATGGTCTCTTGCCTCTTATTCCTGAATATGCAACTGTGGGTCGCAGTAAGCCCTCACTGGCTTAAGGAAGTAAGTCACTGATGTCGGCCAATAAAGTAGTAAGCTTAATTAAGTAATCAATAACTCCAGCTTACTCAGCCTTGTGCTTTCATAAGTTGGGTGATGCCAAAGGGGCACCATCCTGCCTGTGAGGCACAGTTATCTGGCTGGGGAGACAAGCTGTTCCCCAGGTGAGCACTGTAGCACATCCGGGGTCCCCAGCACACCATGGGTCTCTACTCAATGTCTGCTAAGGCATCTTTCTTCACCTGCTGGCTCCCTATGCCTTCAGCTCAAGAGAAGAGCTCCTCATCGCTTTGGACCTTTGTAGAAGAAATTGATAGTGCGGAGGGAGGGGGGGCTTGGAGAAGAGTCTCCACGTCTGCATCAGCCACCACACCTTGGAGACAGGGGTGGTTTGGAACCTCTACGAACTGGCTGGGTTCTGTGGCCTCTACTTGGTAGGCTCCTTGAAATCCTTTCTTACAGTAACAAATTCTTTAGGAAGTGCCTCCCTGTAACTCAGTAGCACTGGGCTAAGTGCTATACTTGGGGTCTCTTGTCACCACCCTGCGAGGCCACTAATGTCATTACCTCCTTTCTTCAGATGAAGAAACTGAGGCTCAGAAAAGTGGTGTCACTTGCCCAAGGACATGCAGCTAGCAAGCTGAAGAGCTGAAATCTGGTGCAAGATCTACTGAACCTAAACTTGGAGCTCCATGTTGGAAATGTATGCATGCTGGGACTGCTGAGTGGTGTCTGTCGCGTCTGTGGGAAGGGGAATGGTGGCCAGAGTGGGGAAATGTCAGCTCTCTGCATGCAGGGATGGCACTCAACCCGGCTTCGAAAGGGAAGCTCCGTCCAGGCATGTCCATCTTCACCCTGCCTGGTCCATCTCTGCTTTCTTGGCTTTCCCACCAAGGCTAGGGCTGCCTCCACTAGTTTTCTTCACACATGGATAGGGTACACTGTGCTCACATCTAGAGGTGCCAGTTTTGATTGCCTGGGCCCCCCCTCCCCCCCCGTTCCTAGCCCCAGACTGATCCTCAGCTTTGTGCAGCAGGGGATGACATGCCATCCCAGCTCTCCCGGCACCTTCCCAAGCCACTGTCTCCACCTGACTGCCTCCCTCATGACGTGGGAGTGATCAAGGGCATGGCGGATGTCAGAAGTGCCTTTCCATGTAAACGCACAACTAGTCATCTTATCCCCTCAAGTGGGCTTGTGGGGGGACGGGGTTCCATGGACGAGACCAGATGCCAAGAATACAAGAGAGAAGGAGAGAAGGAAAAAACATGGAAGTGGAGGAGGAGAGAGGGCCAGGGATGGGGCAGGGGAGCCCCGAGCTCTCAGGAGTACTCACCATGTTGTATGTCCTTCCACAGGACCCAGTATTTGGAATTATCTTCAAAAGTCACAAGGCAGCTCTGCTTAGAACTGCTGACCTGGGGCACGGAGAGGGAGGGGCAATGTGAGAAAGTGGCTGGGGAAAAGCCACGGGGACATGGTCTTCCTCTCCTACTTTTGTCCCCACAGGACAGAGGGATTATACCCGCTCCTGTGGCCCAGAAGGCAGAGCTAGGCTGGAAGGGGAAGGACGACAGCAGTTCCGGAGGTAAACGTGCGCCCAGTTCCTGGGGCCACAGTCCGGGGCCAGGGGACCACAACTCGGTGGGAAGGCGGAGGACAGCACAGGCCAGGTGGTCATCTGAAATAACCTCCAGCCTGATTTTGTTTTGTTCTGTAGGCTCGCAGAGCTCTATTCTAAAGACCTGGTTGGATGGTGTTGGCCCTAAGGATGGCACCTGCAAAAGCAGGTTCTGGTTCCTTCCACGGTCATCTTTTGAGCAGGAGGGGCATGAAGGGAGGCCCAGGCCAGAGGCTGCACCTGGGAACTAGGGCCAGGGAGGAAAGGTTTACCCTCTTGATCTTCCCAAGGTAATACAGTCCATCGGTCCAGCGGCACAGCACATACTGGCCCTCCGTCAGCTTGGACATCAGGTCTTTGAAGTTGTTCTTGGCTTTTGCCAGGGCCCCCTTGTTGGGGAGGTGGCTGGTGGCACCATAGGAGTCCCGAGTCCCTGGATCCAGAGCGCGATTCTCCATCAGCTTCCCCTGACACTGGAAGAGAAAGAGAAGAGGGTTTTTACTCCTCGCTCCCCTGCTCCAGCAGTCCATCTGGGAAAGGAAGGAGACCACCACTTACACAACCTATGGTACTATGGGCCAGGCACTTCGATTATCTCATGGGATCCTCGTGACAACCCTGCGAGGGAGACATTATTATTCCCATTCTATGGACAGAGAAACTGAGGTTTGGCAAGGGAAGGTGGCCAGTGGGGCAGAGGCCAAGGCAAGGCTCATAATCAGGTAGGCTAACTCTAATCCTGCCCCTCTTCCCACCCATACCATGCTGCCTTCTAAAGAGAACGAATCTCTCAACCAACCACAGAGCAGTCTCCCTGCCCAAGAGGCCTGAATTCCCAAGCTTAGGAGCCTGAAGCTTTATCCCTTAAGCAAACATGTTCTCTGAGTAGAGGGTCTTCTCCAGGGGAGCAGCGGGGAAGTCTTCGCTAATCCCCTACTCCCCCCACCCAACCCCTGCCCTGAGATCTGGCCAGAGGAAACTCACCTAGGAAGGAAAACTCCTAGGTGGTTTGCAACCAGGTATAGATGGTCCACCTATGTCTTCCATAATCCCCTTTTCTGCTTTCAGTTATGGGGTGATTTAATGGAAACCACATTTCTGGGACATTTAAACTCACTCTATGCTTCTGCTCAGATGTGAATGTGCTGCAAGCAGGTAAGTCAACACAAGCCACCCTCTCGGCACCTGTCTCTCTCACCATCCTATAAAACATGCTACTGCCCTACTGCTCTCTTCTTCCTGCTAATGGGACCACTAATGGTCCCCAGAACCCCTGGGCATCTTTAGACTTCTCCAACCAGTGAGTTGCCACAGTTGGCCAACTTCAAGCCCAGTGGATTTCTGGCATCTGGCCCCTCTTTTCCATGTCCCTACCCTGGTCTGAGTTCAGGCCTCTCTTTTGCTTGGGCCATTCATTCATTCAATAACTGTTTCCCGAGCCTTGTGCTCACTTATGCCGGGTGCTGGGATGGGGCATGAGACTACCAGCACCCAGTGCAGGTCACTCCCTGCTTTCCTGTCTCCCCACCACTCTTCCACAGGGCCACCAATTCTTTCTTATTTCTCCCTTTCTTATTATCCCTTCCAGAATCCTTCTGTAGCTCTCCAGTGTCTTCGCAGGCATTGGAAGCCTTCCCCAAGGCCCCCTCCTCCCCTCTCTGGGCTCAACCTGGCTCTATCTATGCCCCTCCATACACTCTTCCAGCCAAACACAGCCTTGCTCTGTTCCCTGCACCGCCTACTCTGGTCCCCTCCTTCTCTGCCATGGCACGGGGCACCTGGTGTAGACAGGGAGACGAGTCCCGTGTGTTTTGCTGTGTCAGCGCGCATGTACCTTTGTGAGACTGTGTTTCATGATGTCTGCGGCAGTGTGTCAATGGGTATTTGAAATTAAATACATGTGTGTGCCTGTTCAGGGGCCATGGGGCGGGCAGGGCACTGTTTGGGGTCTTGGCTCCCCAGACGACACTGGGGCCACGTTCCCCTCCACCCCACACCCCCATTCTGCCCTTTTCTGGATGGCAGAGCAGCGCAGGCTTGGGGCAGGGTATGCGCTCCGAATCCCAGCCTTCTTCTCCCTGCCACCTGGCTCCCGGGCGCTGCTAAGTCCCCGCCCGCCGGGCCTGGGCCCCGGGCCGCGGCAGGTTCACAAACTGACACTTCCTCCCCCTGCCGCGCCGTTGGGAGCCGGCCCGGTCGCCGCGCCCCCACTGGCCGGGCGGGGGCCCCCGGGTGGCGGCCCCCTCCCCGCGCCTCCATCCTCCCGGAGCGGGCCCCCGCGGGCTGTGATTGGCTGATTCAAACCCATCTGCAAAGAAATGCCTGTTTGCGGGTTCCCGTCGGCGTCCAGTTCAAATCCGCGGCACCCGGAGCGCGGGGCCGGGCGGGGGCAGGAAGCGAGGATGATTCATGCGCCGGGGCCTCTCCCAGGGCGGCCGTTGGCTTTTTAAAAAAGGGTGTTAGGGAGGGGAAAAAAAAAAAAACTTGCAGAGGTACCCCCGGCGGGTTCAAGCGCTCCTCTCTTCGGTCGCTCCGACGCCAAGCATCCCCCCCCGCCCCCCCCCGTCCCAGTCCTGCCGCAGCCTGACTTCGGACGTGAGCAAAATCCCAAATGCCCCGGTCGGTCTCCACCCCCGCCACCACCCCCCCGCCCCTGAACGGGAAAAGTCAAGATTTGGGGCCAGGGAGCAGCGACCTGTCACCCACGCCCCCCCCTCAAGGCTCGGGGACCCGGGTGAGGCTCCCACGCCCCGCAGACGCCGCTCACCCGCGTTCCAGCCTCAGGCGCTCAACTCCCCGGGACCCCGACCACCCACCCACCCGCCGCCCCCGAGGCGCCCGGTTCGCCGAAGTCCGGGGAGATTTCTCAAAGACGGATGTGTGTCGGGAGCAAAGCTTGCGGCGGGGAGTCCCCGCTGAGCTTACCGCGAGCCTGCGTGTCGGCCGGTCCCACTTGGAGTCTGGCCACCAGGCGCATCGGCGGCGGAGGCGGCTGCGCGCGGCCCGCGGCTGCCCGGCCGAGTGTCCGCCCGTGGGGCCGGGGTCGGGGTCTCGGCGGGGGCGGGGCGGGGCGGGGGCGCCGCGGGGAGGAGGAGGGGAGGCGGGGGAGGGAGGGGCCGGGGCGCTCAGGAAGGGGCCCCCCGGGCGCGGGGCGCCATCTTTTTCGCGTTTTCCCGCGAATTATTGACGTCCCGCTTATGTAATTAGCGGGGGCCGCGCCGGCCTCGCCATTGGAGCCCGCGGCCGCGGGGCCCC